TATTATTTTTTTATTGTGAAAATACTGTACATGGGCAAGATAATGAGTACATTTCTTATCAAGCATTATACCCTCCTCCTTTGTTTCCCCTTCCCATCCCTTGCTCCAGTGTCTTGAAGCAAGGAAATAATCCGCATTTGGGCTTTAGGAAAGCTTGGAAGTTGGGAATGATCTTGCTTATTAAGAATCTCTTTAAATGTATGTTGTTTACCTCTTGGCCATCAGTAACCAATTGATTGTGTCTGTCTCCTATAGCTTGGCATTGCAATTGGGTTCTTGGTCCCTCCTATTTTGGTACCCAACATCAATGACCAGGAGAAGCTTGCCTACCACATCAGCATCATGTTCTACATAATAGGAGGTGTGGCCACTCTCCTTTTCATCCTTGTCATCATCGGTAAGGTCATCAGTAGACGGAAGGGAGGGTGCAGGGAGGTTCTGCACACTTTGGTGGGAGCCCAGTGAATAGGACTCTAAAATACTATGACTATTTACAGACACTGGAGGCCAAGATTTTTATGGTCTCCAATTGTTTTAGCCTGAGCACTTGTTCCCAATATAGTGCTAGCTGGCCTGTGCACATTATTAATTCCTCATGAAGGTTCACTACTCTCCTTCACCAGACCAATCTCCAGGTCTCTTGATCACAGCTCAGTGGGGAGTTTACAGTGTCCAGGCACTGAGCTAAGAACGCCTGATTCATCTAGGTCTCAATAACTCCACAAGTGAGGTACCAGTATCAGTCCCACTTAGGACAAAAAGATGAGGGAAATCAAATAAGTTCTTTGCTGGTGGTTGGCAGGTGACTCACACCTGTAATCCTAGATACTCAGATCTGGGTTGAAAAGTCTATGAGACTTATTTTCAATTAGCCAGAAAAAAAAAGTTAGATGTGGAATGGGATTCAAGTGATAAGAGTACCAGCCTTGAGTGAAAAAGCCAAGCAAGAATGGTGACCTCTGAGTTCAAGCCCCAATACCAGCACGCGCACACACACACACACACACACACACACACACACACACACACAGAGTAAATAAATGAATAAGTCCTCAAGATTACATAGCTAATAAGTGGTAGAGATTAGAGCCAAATCCGAGTTTGTTTAACTCCATACTATAAAAATCTACAAGAGGCTGGGAATGTGGCTTAGTGGTAAAGTGCCTGCCTAGTGTGCATGAAGCCCTGGGTTCAATGCCTTAGTACCACATAAACAGAAAAAGCCATACATAGTGTTGTGGCTCAAGTGGTGAAGTGCTAGCCTTGAGCAAAAAGAAGTTCAGGGACAGTGCCCAGGCCCTGAATTCAAGCCCCAAAACTGTCAAAATAAAAAATACAAGATAAACAGAAGCTGATCTACAAATACTAGTAATCTCAGAGATTAATCTGAGAATGTATGGGGACCACATTCTTTAATGCTTTAAAAAATTATTAGTAATTTATACTTACTATGGAAAAAATCTAGAAAATACAAAAAATAAGAGAAATGGACTTTAACTTGTCTTTGTACAAGTTAATTGCAATCACAACCTCCAATAGCTGCTATTAACATTTTATATGCATGTCCATTTAATCATTGACATATGTGATTAGAAAAATTTTATGTGTTCCAGCCTGGGTGGCTCGTATTTGTAATCCCAGTAGTGGAGAGCCTGGGGCAAGAGGATCATGAGTTCAAGAACAATCTAAGCTTTAGAGTGAGACCCTGTCACAAAAAAAACAAATTAAAAACCCCAAACAAATAAATGCAGAATTTTGTCTTTGGTTTTCATCTAAACGATGTTCTGTGGGTTGTAATAAAAGTCACTAACAGAAGAGTAGAGTTTTTGTTTTGTTTTCCAGTTAGTCACCTGTCTAAAGGTTAACCAGTTTTCTTCCTAAGGCCTTCAAATTCCATCTCACATGTTAAAGGTTTCATTCCTAACTGCTGGCTCACCTCCTCATTAGACAGATCTACAACTGTGGACCTCATTCCGCCCCTTTCCCTGCCTGGATCCAGGATGAGGAAGGGCTGCCAGGTGGCTTTGCATGGCAGAATGGCTTAGGCAGAAGTTTGGGTGCTCTAGGGAAGGTGAGAGGCAGGGGTAAAGAATGCAGCCAGGGGGCTGCACAACTGGATGGCTCTACACTCTATGTTTATACCAGATGAAGGGTTGGCTCATTGCAACTGAAATCCTGGATGGTAGGATAATGCTATGTTTGGGCATTTTATTACCAAGCATAAAGAATGGAGAAATGTTATCTGAATCCTGCTTTGTGGGTTCTAAATACTTGAGGCAATATCTGTTGGTGTAGGGACAAGGCACCTACTTGCCTCACTTGCTTTCTTTGGGATAGAAGAAGAGGCAAACAGGCAAGACAATGGGTGATAGGTTCCGGGGAAAGGAGGTGGTAGGACTATTTGTGGAGGAGGAAGAAGCAGGGCTCTGAAGTTAGGGCTGGAGTGTTTTCTGGGTGGGAGGGGGCCCCTTTGATCTGCCAAGAGAGCAAATCTCATTTCCACAATTTCCTCTAACTGGAGACAGTCTGTTCACTGGCTACATGGTTTTCTCAAACCATGAGAGAGGCTAAGAGACTCAATCAAGGACCTAGATTGGTCCAATAACTGGACCAATAATTGGTCCAAAAGTAGTTGAAAGCTGAACAGCACTGTGTAGTCAAGATGATTGATAGTAGCAGACATGCGGAAACTGGAATATGAACCAACTTTTATCCTGGCCCTCCCTCACCAGCCCTTGGTAGCAGAGAGTCATAGCAGAGAGGAACACGGTCAATTTGTCTCCTTCATGAGGCAGACTACTGATTCCCAGTTGGTGAAAATAGAAATGGATTCTGTTTTTCCTACAGAAGACCATTTCTTTCATTTACTCAGGGAATACTTTTTGTAGCTAGCATGTGCCAGCTCTGTGCCAAGTATGGGCGCCACAGTTTTGTCCCCTTTTCAAGGAGTTCTGAAGGTAAACTGTTCATTCATTGGACTCACAGACAGCCAAGCTTTTGCTTCTTTTCAGCCCATGTGTTGCTATTGTGTTTGTCTGTTTTAAGTTTTCCGGTGATCTGGCTGTTTTCTGTTGGTTGTCATGGGACACTTTGATCTTTGAATATTGTATGGGAGGCCCAATGATTTCCACCTTTTAGAGGTCAGAAACAGAGTGTGAGTTCAGGCCAAGTATGGGCTGTGTAGTTAGGCCCTGTCCCCACAAATCAAACAAAACCCAGAAAGGAATCAAAGGAGCAGGTGCTAAGCCTGAGACTGTGGTAAGTGGTTTCAGGGGAGGGGAGTGGAAAGATGCCATTGCAGAATTGAGTATTTCCTCTGGCAGTTCACACCTACTTCCTGCGTGCTCCTGTCTGAGTGGAGCCAGCTCTGCTAGTGGGAGACCACAAGAGTTTGCAGCCATCTCTGTTTCTTTCCTTTCAGTGTTCAAGGAGAAGCCTAAACATCCCCCCAGCAGAGCTCAGTCCCTGAGCTATGCCTTGGCATCACCTGATTCTTCATACTTACACGCCATCATTCGGCTCTTCAAAAACCTCAACTTTGTGCTGCTTATCATCACCTATGGTAAGGTGTGGATTTGCCCAGTGGTTCCCTTGGACTGGGAACAAGAGATGAGAGGTGTGTCTCTGGATCTCACCCTTCCCAAATCCTGTGCTCATATGAGTTGTATAGGGCTTCCTAGAGAACCTGCTCTGTCTGAGGGCCTTTGCACATGCTACATAAAATCCACTCTAGAAAACGCATTTTCTTGGGCTGGGAAAGTGGCTTAGTAGAGTGTTTGCCTAACATGCATGAAGTCCTGGGTTCAATTCCTCAGAACCACATACACAGAAAAAGTCAGAAGTGGTGCTGTGGCTCAAGTGGTAGAGCCTTGAGCAAAAGAAGTTCAGGGACAGTGCCCAGGCCCCAGGACTGGCAAAAAGAAAAAAAAAAAAAGAAAGAAAAAGCGTTTTCTTTCCATGTCAGGTTATCTGACAAGTCTCTTGGTCCTCTGACGCTCATGCCATTGTTATCTCTGAAAAGCAAGGGTAGGTTACATTTTCTCTCTTCTCATGCTACTACTTGTACATCTTAATACCTGCCATTTTTTTAAAATGGCATTTTGAAGTCTGTCTCCCTACTAGATCAATTCTCTTTCAGTACTTAGTTTATTTATTAGAATCATTTCTGTCTTTTCATCTTTATAGCTCCTTTGCAATGGCCAGACTGGAGTGCATAGTCCAGTAGTGATGAATGAATGAATGAGTGAGTAAAGGAGTCTTATCACACCAGCCACTACTCAGCAATCTTCTTTCATTTTGTAATATCCATAAATGATCCCTCTCTTTTTCTCTGTCTCTCCTCTCCCATTCCCCATTCCCCATTCCCCCCCCCACTTCTTTCTCTCTCTCTCCTGATACAGCACAATATCCCTTTTTTATTTCATTTTCTTGGCCTATGGCAAGATAAATTTGAGTGTTTATGTTGGTATGTTGGCTTTCCTACTAGCACAGTGTTTCTGTACCTCCTTTTCAAACTTTTTTTTTTTTTTTGTCTGTCGTCGGGCCTGAACTCTGGGCCTGGGCGCTGTCCCTCAGTTCTTCAGCTCAAGGCGAGCGCTCTACCACTTGAGCTACAGCGCCACTTCCGGTTTCTGGTGGTTTATTGGAGATAGGAGTCTCATGGTCTCTCCTGCCCTGGCTGGCTTTGAACCGCGATCCTCAGATCTCAGCCTCCTGAGTAGCTAGGATTACAGGCGTGAGCCACCAGCGCCCGGCTTCCTTTTCAAACTTTAATAAAACTCAAATCAGAGACTGGCCAAGACAAGCTTCATGACATTCCATCAACGTCTATCTATAGATGAACACTAGTATTTCTAGTTCAAGAAGTGTACTGTTGTCCAGCTTACATTTGATCACCTAAATTCATTAGGTAAAATTAAAATCTAGAGTCAGCAAGTATGTACACACTCAGTAGCCTATGAAACAAAGAAAAGTGATTGGGTTGATGAGGCTTGTTTTTAGTGAACATCCTATGACTATCACTTGAGGTTTTATAGAGGCTCATGAACCATAGTTTTATAACAACAGTAGCATTTAATTTTATCAACTTTGCACCCATGTGTAGTAAATACTGTAATTGTCCCCATTTTACAGATGAAAAAATGAAAACTTAGAGAAACTAACTAGACCGAAGTCATATAAACGACAGATCCAGAATTAATTTAACTCCTATTTATTTATTATTTTATTTATTAGACAGAGCCTTACTATCTTGAGTCTGTCCCATCAGGCTGGTCTCCCATTGTTAAATAATCCTCCCAAGCCAGTCTTCTGAGTAGCTGAGACTATAGATATGCACCATCATCCTGGTTACAAAGCCTAGATTTGTTGATCTCATCTTTGTTAGGTAAAACTCAACTATCTGAGCAATGCCCTTAGTACTTCTTGCTTTGTAGTTTATTTTTCATGTAATGGTTGTATTTTTTGTCCAGGGCTGGCCTCAGATAAAAGCCATCTACCTTCATCATCCCCATAACGGTGATAATTGGCATATTTGACCAGCTCCAAAGCTTGCGTGTCTATTTTTTTTTTTGTCAGTACCAGGATTTGATCTCAGGGACTCACACTCTTACTCTTCACACTCAGGGCCTCATACTCTTGCTTACTCTGTTGCAGCTCTGTCACTTGAGCCACTTGAGCTTTTTCTTAATTGTTTTGGAGGTGGAATTTCATGGACTTTTCTGTCTGGGCTGACCATGATCCTCAGATCTCAGCCTCTGAATAGCTATGGTATGAACCACTGTTGACTCTGGTCTCCAAAGCACTCTATATTTATTATGAGATATGCCTATTCCAGAACTGCCTATATATTCATGAGAGCTATGCCTAGGGTTAAGTATTAGGTGTATCAATGCCCTTTATCTTGAAGTATTTATCTACTGAAGTTCTAGATAATAGAACCTATAATCTCTGTTGAGAAATATTCCTAACTTTTTGGGCATACACCAAAGTTTGATGATCTCTTATCTAAATGGTCAGATTAGCCTTAGAAGTTCCAATACCCAACAAAAAAAGAGAAAGGAACAGAAGGAAAGTAAGAAAGGGATGAAGTAGACAGTCATTCAAATTGATATAACCCTCAACTAGGAAAGTATTTCTGAGCCATTGGAAGAGTTTGACTTTGTAGTACATAGAGAGGATTTATTAGTACCTTATCTTAAAAGGTGCAGTTGTCTTAATGAAAGAGTTAAACTAAGTTTGATATTTGTATATATTTCATTATGGCCAGAGAATGATAAATCTTATTTCCATGGTAGAAAATTGGATGAAGTGACAGAACTCTGTGCTAACAGAGGAAATGATTCTTAGTCTAATCAGAGATTTGAAAGAATCTTTTATTAAACCATTATTCTGTGTCAGGCACCATGTTAAGTGCTTCACATAACTAATCTCAGTTGATTTTCCTTATTTATTTATTTGTTTGTTTATTTATATTTTTTTGTTGATCATGGGGCTTGAACTCAGGGCCTGGGTGTTACCCCTGCTCTTTTGCTCAAGGCTAGCAATCTACCACTTTGAGCCAAAGCACCACTTGGGGCTTTCTGGTGGTTAATTGGAGATAAGAGTCTCACAGACTTTCCTGCCTGACCTGGCTTCAAACTGTGATCCTCAGATCTCAACCTCTTGAGTAGCTAGGATTGTAGGCATGAGCTACCAGTGCCCAGCCTCATTCGATATTTTCAAAAGAAACTTTTGACATAGTATGTTTATAATTTATTTTTTCTTCTTTTTTGGCCTGAGGAAAAGGATGAGAGACTTGCCTGTAACGGAATAGCTACTAAGCAATGGAATTGTTTTAGACAAGTCTGACATATACAAAGCCCAGTTATTAACCACTACACCATTTTATACAAAAAGGAGCCTCTTGGAGACAGAATCAGGGCCTTTTCTTTGCCCCATTTGCCTGACTTTTCCTTTGGTCTATCTTTAGGGAAGTATATCCTTCCTTATATTCAATCCTCTGGATAGTAAACCGGAAGCTGATTGTTTTTGACAAGAGTGTCTAGAGTTCCAGGGTCTGGGGAACAGGGCAAGCCATTCATGCCTTGGATTTGAGGATGGCGGGGTTTTGGTCTCAAGTTTTTGTCTAATAAAATCTTTGTCCTGTAAAGGTGGTGTTTGCTGCATAATCCAGTTGAGAATATTTGCTTTCTTCTATAATTGTCTTTGCTCCAAATTAAAACAAAAACAAACAACAACAAAAACTACCACCACGCTGGGCACTGGTGGCTCACACCTGTAACCCTAACAACTCAGAAGGCTGAGATCTGAGGATCATGGTTCAAAGCCAGCCTGGGCAGGAAAGTCCATGAGACTCTTATCTCTAAACTACTCAGAAAAAGTTAGAAGTGGTACTGTAGTTCAAGTGGTTCAGGGACAGTGCCAAGGCCCTCAGTTCAAGTCCCAGGACTGGCAAAACAATAAATAAGTTTTAAAAAAAATACCACTGCCACTGTGTGCTGGTGGCTCATGCCTGTAATCCAAGCTACTCAGGAGGCTGAGATCTGAGGATCGCAATTTGAAGCCAGCCTGGGCAGGAAAGTCCAGGAAAGTCCATGAGACTGTGATCTTCAGTTAACCATCAGGAAACCAGAAGTAGCACTATTGGTCGGTCAAGTGGCAGAGCACTCACCTTGAGCTGAAGAGCTCAGGGACAGTGCCCAGGCCTAGTGTTCCAGCCCCATGACCGACATATATACACAAATAAAATACTTCCGCCAACAAAAAAGCTTACTTTTAAGTCAGCTAGTTATTCTGAAATCCCTAAGCATACTAGCCCATCCCCCATGTTATCAGCTTTCTGTTGCTATAGCAAACTACATGAAAGAATAGAGAAGAGCTTTGAATATAGCATGCTTACTTAGCATGTGAACACCATTACCTCAAAAGAGAGAGAGGCAAAAAATAATAAAGGAGAAAAGATGTACTTTCACTCATAATTTTATATCTCTTAGTCCATGATTTGTTGGCTCCCTTGGTTTTGGGCTTTCACCATGGTGGCAAAGCAGAACAAGAAGAGAGCAAGATGCAAGAGCACATCCCAATGACCTAACTTCCTCTCCATTTATTTATTTATTTATGTTGTGGGGCCTGAACTCTGGGCCTGGGTGCTGTCCCTCAGCTCTTGAGCTCAAGGCTAGCACTCTACCACTTGAGCATTAGCACCAGTTCTGGCTTTTTCTGCTTACATGGTGCTGAGGAATCGAACCCAGGGCCTCATTCGTGCAAGGCAAGCGCTCTACCACTGAGCCACCTTCCCAGCCCCCATCCATGACTATCCTTCATTGCTCCAATACTCCCCACCTCCAGCAGGAAATAGTAATAACATTTCTTCCCATTAGAGTATGCTGGATGAGGTAAAAGCTTTTTAAAGCCAATTGAGTATCAACATATGCACAGCATGCATCATCCACATTGCTGTTGCATTGGTGAGCTTATGACTTCCAATATTCTTTCTTTGGTTTGAGCTGACTTCACTATGTGGAAAGTAACTCTTGATCAGTTGGTGGAATGTCTAGCATTATGTGTACAGTGCTTTCAAAGTGGTCCTCCAAGCTGCAGAGCAAAGTGCTACCCACAGCAAAGTGCACTGATAGCAATCAAAGGCTTGAGAGGAAATCCAGGGTCCAAGAGTTTGAGATAGAAAATAAAGGCCATCCACTGAAATTTGAATTTCCAGCTTGGTATGGTAATACATGCCTATAATTCTAGCACTGAAATGACTGAGGTAGGAGAATTTTGAATTCAAGGCCTGCCTGGGATATATTATGGAATATGTGTGTATGTGTGTGTGTGTGTGTGTGTGTGTGTGTGTGTGTGTGTGTGTGTATGTGTACATATCTTCAAATAAAGAAGAAATGCTTTCCAGTATCAACATGTCCTTTGAAATATTTGGGGACAAATTTATACTTCAAAATTAACCTTTCAATTATTTGAGGTTCAAATTGAACTATGGTTAGGCTTGGTATTTTGTTTAGGAGGAAATGCAGGGACTGGGCTCATGCTAGATGTTGCCAAAACATCACCTGCTGGTGAGTGACCTCCCTTCTTCCCCAAGTTTGGCAATGAAGAAAGACTTGAGGCTGCAGTTAGACATTCCACTAGTGGCTGGGGAAGGGCAGGGTCCTGTGTTTCAGAAGAGATGAAAGAAAAGAGCCTTCCTTTGGCCACTTTTCCTTTGTGAATAGCTTCTTCTAATCTGTCATCAGTGGTGCAACATGTACATATTTGAAAGGCTCCTCTTCTAGAGAATGTCTTCAAGGGAGGTACTTTATGTTTTCCTCCTCTTCGTCAGCTGCATTTCTGAATCATTCATTCATTGTCAGGCTCTGACCTCCTAGGTTCTGTCCCTTCTCAGGCTTTCTAAGCCTCTCCTGAGGTTCTTTCCCTTGGGGCCCTCCAGCGTTTTTTATCATTGTTCTGTCTACATGGGTCTGTGGAAGGATTTTGGTGCCTCCTCTAAGATCCTGGCTTCCGAATGTGTTTGCAATCCTATTAGACATTCCTTGGAGCTCTGCTGAGCTCAAGCTTTGCTGGCCTTTTAAAACAAATGTTTACACTGGCGCAGGTGACTCATGCCTCTAATCCTAGCTACTCAAGAGACTGAGATCTGAGGATCACTGTTCTAAGCCAGGGAAGTCCATGAGATTCTTCTCTCCCACTAACCAGCAAAAAGCCAGAAATGGAGCTGTGGCTCCTAAATGCTAGCCTTAAGCAAAAAAGCTCAGGGACAGTGTGAGACTACTGAGGTCAAGCCTCCCTTGGTCTCTCTAAGTCCTGAAAGAACCTGTTGGTATGCTTTCTACTCAGTCTTCCTAAATAATGTCCTTCAGATTCCTATGGATTCTGTTCAGTTTGTTCATCCCAGCTAGAATCCCACACTGAGTGCAGTTGTCTGTCTGAAGCCCAGGTCCCACTAAAACATCCCTGACAGGGTCAGGCCAGGCCAGTGGCCAAGGGAGGAGCCAGAAGGACCAGAAAGGGCAGGAGGCTGTTTTCTACCTTTTCTTTCCACATTCCAGGCCACCCACCCCCTTTCTCAGGAGTGTCTGAACTCAGGAATGGAATTCGAAGTGGCCTGATGTATCATCAGTAGAGTATACATGCTAAGATGTTGAGAGTCTCAAAGTAGATCACCAACTAAATACTCTTAGGGTAGTATATTCTGTATGACAGAATATATGTTACATGTCACCCAACAGGTTTATTGGCCCATTGTGGCCTTGTGCTGTTTAGAAGGCTGCATTGAGCCCAACCTTGTTGCATCTGTGGCCTGATCTGCTCAGAGAGGCTGGGACAGAAAGAATTTGCCAGACTTGGGAAAATAATTGTCTTGACAGTCAACTTTGTGAAGTTATATAAAGCAGAATAATTAAGATGAAGTACTCTAGATTTGTGTGGGATTGGGTTCTGAACTAGCCCCACCACACAGAGCCAAAGTGCTGTGGGAGTGTAAAAGAAATGTTCTTATCCATTTAAGAATTCTTATCTGTGTAAGAATTGGACCTTCACTTAATTTTGTAATTTGTGTCCCAGAAAACCCAACATAGGGACGTATGTCAGTTACATTTAGACAACAATGCTTATGATAAAAATGACCTCTTATGATACAAACAGACAGAATGACCTAGTCTTCTCTGGTGGGAAGCCATTCTCTGTGCTTTCCTCAGTACAATGATTCCTTTCACTGGCCTACCCCTCCAAGGGGCGTTGGCAACTAGCCTAGGGAGTTATAAGCCGGTAGTGGCTCTGGTGAGTCATTAAATCAGAATGGTTGCTGTACTCGCCCTTCCTTGTACTTTAGCGAAACCTTAGTGGCCAAAGAGAAGAGCTTCCAGACACCTCTGTGGCTTGGAGCTCCATGAGCTGCTTTGACTAGAGAGGAACTCCTGAGGCTGCTGTGTACACAAGCTATGACTTGCACCAATCTACATGAATGTCAAGGGTGCCCAAGGTAGAGCTGTGGGCCTCATGTTCGGCTAGAACTAAAACGACCCCTGGCGGACATTCTGGAGTAACTATGTTTGATTTTAATTGTGTGCATTTTTCTCACCTCTAGAATGGGGATGCTCTACTATCTACCCTCCAGGTAGTTATAGCTGTAATGGGCTTAGAACAGTGCCTAGTACATAAGTGTGTCCCGCTGCTGCCTCTCATCATCATCATCATCATCATCATCATCATCATCATTGGAAAAAAGAAAAGGAAGGCCAAGAGATCCTTTCTCTCTTGAGTCAGTTTTAGTGTCATCATAGCTACTCTCACTATATTTATTCAGACAAATCACTGTATTTCTTATTCCCTTAAGAAAAAGGTTCTTAAGCCGGCCGCCGGTGGCTCATGCTTGTAATGCTAGCTACTCAGGAGGCTGAGATCTGAGAATCGCAGTTCAAAGCCAGCCCAGGCATGCAAGGCCATGAGACTTTTATCTCCAATAAACCAACAGAAAACCAGAAGTAGTGCTGTGGCTCAAGTGGTAGAGCTGAAGAGTTGAGGGACAGTGCCCAGGCCCAGAGTTCAAGACCCATGACTGACAAAAAAAGAAAAAAGAAAAAGAAAAAAGAAACAGTTTCTTATAGCATATTGTAGTTGCTCCATTTACTTGGTGGATGAACTGATGAAGTAGACACCAACTTAATGCTCTTTAGAGTGTCATCTAATCCCACATAATAGGTCTTGTGGGATATTAAATCTGAGAAGTTGGAGGAGTGGTCAACGAGGAAAGAAATGACTTGCAGAGGGAGTGGCATGAGGGGGTCAGAGATCTGGAGTGGTAGAGAGGGGAAAGCGTCATCCAGAGGAAGAAGAGGCTGAGTATTTGTCTTACTGTACTAACCCACAAAAATCTGGCCAGAGCTTAAGAGAGGAATGTAGACAATTCTGACTTGAGAGTAATATTCTATAGAGCCTATGTTTCCATGTCAGGTTCAAGGAATCAGAGGGCAAAGGTGTGTGGCTAAGAAAAGGTTGATATGGTTACTTCTGATTGTTTTGAAGGACTTCTATGGGGACTGCAGAGTAGTTTCAGAGCTCCTTGAATTTCTCTTCTCTTGAAATAGCACTCTGGAGTGACAGTAAGGATGAGAATGTTTAAGCTCCCTTACTGCTGGAGGGTGATGGAATTAGCAAGGGCTCTAGGATAAGGCTGACTGTAATGTTGTTTCTCCCTCCTTCAGGTCTGAATGCCGGTGCTTTTTATGCTTTGTCCACTCTGCTGAATCAAATGGTGATCTTGCACTACCCGGTAAGGGAGTTCCCTTGGAGATAATAGGGTTTTCCAGGACTGTCTCCACAGAGGCTGGGCTGGGAGTTTATCCTGGGTTCCCCCAGTTCTAGGCAGCCTGGGATGGTTGTATGCTGATGAGATGTGGAGGAAGGTGGCCCTGGATTCCCAACCTGGCTCTGGTGGTCCTAAGTTGTGATGGTGACACTGACAAGCTGGCTAGCATCTCTCTGCTATCTCTTTTCTGCAGAAGAAGCATGGTTATTTCTTTTAAGATTAGTTTTAGGATTAGCAAATACTCACCTTACATAAGACATAATAGATGATATATATATAAAACGTACAATATAATAAAACAAGATCTCATATATATAATATACTATGTTATATAGCATATATGCTATACTATATGTTATATAGTATATGATAAAATATCTCATACATAAATATACATAATATATAGTATAGAATATATTATATAGCATAAATTGTTTTTATTATTATTATTTTATTTGGGCAAGATTTGTTTTGAACTCATAGGTTCAAATGAAAACATTTAAAAAACATTTTTAAAATGTTTTCAGAAGCAATGCCCAGAAGGCTGGACATTGGGAAGGCAACATGATATGTCCTAGAGTCAGGAACAAGGAAGGCCTGGCCCTCTTTTGCAATGTCTAGGGGCTCATGCTGGCAGAGGCAGAAGGCTACTAAGGCTAAGGGATCCAGCCTTTACGTTTGATAGGTCTGAGTTCACATCCTAACTCTGTACTTAATACATGCCTTGTGACCTTGGACAAAAAAAGTGAATCTCAGTGTGCCTCAGTTTCCTCATTTATAAAATAGAGACACAGTGACCCCTAACCTTATGGTGGGCAATGATGAGGTTACATGAGAAAAGGTTGTAAACTCTCAGGCATAAATAAACTCTCACCTCATAGACAATAAAATAGCTATTATGACTCCCATTCCTTTTTTGCACTGATTGTTCCAATTTGTTTCCCATCTGTGAAACAGAAACAATGATATATAAGACACCAGAACTGCTGTGTAATTAACTTAAAAAAAATCAGAGCCAGGCACCAGTGGCTCATTCCTGTAATCCTAGCTACTTAGGATGCTGAGATCTGAGGCTCACAGTTTAAATCCAGCCAGGACAGGAAAGTCAGTGAGACTCTTATCTCCAATTAACCACAAAAAGTCAGAAGTGGAACTGTGGCTCTAGTGATAGAGTGTTAGCTTTGAACACAAAAGCTCTGGGACTGCCCAGGCCCATAGCTCAAGCCTTAGGACCTGCCAAAAAAAATTTTTTTTAATCTGTGTGAAAGTGGTTTCTAAGTCCAGAATTGGGTTCATCATGTCACCCAGTGTCCAGAGTCTTGAACACAGCCAGGGTTATATTGTTGGTGATATAACCTACTGTTGTGAGATTTTTCTTCCAGGCCCCCTGTCTCCTTCCTAGCCTTCCTGTCCCCAAACTTTCTAAATGTGGCTGAAATGGGATGATCCTTGGGATTTCCCCAGGGGCAAGAGGTGAATGCTGGAAGAATCGGCCTGACCATCATCATCGCAGGAATGCTTGGGGCTATGCTCTCAGGTCTCTGGCTGGATAAGTCCAAAACCTACAAGTAAGTGACTCTTGTTCATTGGCTCAGAAGCAGGGACCCACTTTTTGAAATGACACATTCATTAGCAGCAGGGCTCAAAAACTTTGGGTGTGGCAGCTGGAGGTCTGAGTAGTCAAGCAAGGCAGTTCAAATTTAGCTTCTCGGAGCCTCACTTTCCTCATTTATAAAGAGAGGGACAATATACCCACCCTGCAGATTGTGCACACGAGAAGACTAGCTCCATCCTCTTCCCCATTCTCCTAGCCAACGAGGAGCCTTGTAGCAGGGGCAGAAGAAAGAAATAGGAAAAAGATTGTAACTTTTAAGTAGGCACCATGGAGAGGGAGGGTGGGCCAAGGAAGAGGGTAAATGCAGATGAATACAGTTGAAGTCATTTATTTGTAGGTATGAAAATAGAACGATGAAACCAGTTGAAATGGTTTTAAGGAGGATAAGGTTAAAGGAGAGTGACAGAAAGGGTGAAGTTGATCAGGTTGCATTGTGTACATGTGTGGAAAATGTCACTCAAAAATGGCCTTGCACAATTAATGTATGCTAATAAAGAAAAGGAAAATGACTGTGAAACAAATATCAACTGTTGGAAAGTTTGTGGATGGTTCCAAGAGTGAGATAAGGCAATGATTTCACGGTCCTGTTGCCATGGCTCCCTGAGTTCCAGTGATATCAACTCGTGCTCTAAGTTTACAGTGTGAATTATCGTGTATTCGTTTCTATCTTATTGGTAAATATCATGATATATTTTGGACCTGAACGCCCAGTGCATTTCTAAGAGCCCCAGAGCTCATTAAAAAGTTTCCATGTAAATCCAGCTACTTGGGAAGCAATGAGGTAGAGGTCTGAGGCCTACCTGAGCTACAAGTATGAGACCCTCATCTCCACCAACAAGCTAGCTGTGATGCTCTGTGTTTGTGAGCACAGCTACAGAGAGACATAGGTTAGGAGGATTGTGGTCTGAGCCTGGCCTCAGGCAAAAGCATGAGACCCTATCCAAAAAAACTAAAGGAAAAAAGGGCTAGGGCTCAAATGGAAGCAAACACTATATCACTAAGCTAACTCCCAGCCTTGTCCTTGACTTCTTGTGATTTTCTGGTGCTCCCCATGCCTAGGTACTCAATTAATACAGGCTGGTGGGACAGCTGCCAGTATTATCCTCAGCTGGGACAGAGCTATATTCTGGGCTGCTTTGTTAAGGCCTCCAAAGTTCCCAGTGTCTGGAGGTGACAGACAGTAGCAGACCTGTTTCCAGCCACACAGACCTGCTGCTATGAGGCTCTGGTCAGACCAGGTCAACCTCTGGTCATGGCTGTCCTAGTCAAAGGCCAGTTGAGGTCTCTCTTAGGGATGTGGTTGTTTGGTGGGGCTTGGCTGCCATCTCGTCTCTGCCATCCGCTAGTTGATTGCTTTGGCCAGATGCAAGACCAGTGAAGACTGGCCATCCTCAGATTAGTGGACAGCAGTGTCCCTTCTTCCAGGCTTGCTTTGCAGAAGGAGAAGGGAGGGATTGGAATGTTGGCTGGGCTGGGATGTGGGCAGCCAGATGACTCAGATGAAATTACAAACAGAATGAAAGGCTTGGGAGGACACTTGCTCAGCCCACTTCAGAGCTTAGGCATCAGTAGCTCTAAGTGTGCCTCCATGTCCAAATCCTGTGGTCAGCTGCTTCCCTATCCCCAGGTCTCCTGTGTGTCCATTTTGGCTCGAGGACTGGAAATTGTTGGTGAGGCCCATTTTTCTGAGGCAAGGACTAGAAAGTTTTTCTAAACTCGTCAGTGGTTTAACGTTAAGTAAATGTGGCAGAAACAAGTTCAGCATCTGGTGAGCTTGTAGAATCACTGAGATATTGTGTCCTTGAAGTAGCTTTCTGCAGGGTAGTGGGTGGGGAGCAGGGCAAAGGCCAGAAAGAGGCACTTCATCTCAGTAACTGCTTTGAAGTACCAGGTCAAAGGGACACAGAGGTCAAGGCTCTGTCCTTGACCTCATCCAAGAATGCAATCACACATTATTGCTTGTATGGGTAGCAAGAGACAACACTGAGGCTTCTATCCCGGCTCTGAGTTCAAATTCCAGTTCTGAGTGTACTCAGCCAATGACTTTGAACAAATCACTAGCCTCGGTTTCCTTACTGGTAAAATTAGGGATGGACATATGTTTCTTATATGATTTTTTTGGAGGGGGGGTAAGAGTTGAATTGAAATCATAAACACACATAAAGGGTTTAATAGAATTTGAGATCCAGTATGCACAGGTCTGAGAGTGATGAAACTGTGTGTGTGCTGGTGACCCACTGTGTTGTGCCTTCAGGGGTGGCAGCAAGGGCTGCAGCTGTCATCCTCTATATCACCATGGTCTTGGCAGGAGGGGAGAGGAGGATGCACAGCCTGAGCCAGGCAGGAGGCTGAGCAAGACCTCGTCAACGGGAGCAGTGCCTTCTGGGAGGGGGATCTAGAGAGAGAAGCCCGTGGGGGCTCCACAACACAGAACTCACTTAGGAAAGCTGGCAAGGAGTGAGTAGAGGTTTTGCTTTGGTTTTGAAATCATGCCCTTAGTTCTGGGGTCGAGAATTTTTTTTTTCTGAGTTCTCCTGTCAGGAGCAGAGTAGTTTAGGTTTAATTGGAAAAGTTGTGCTGTGCTGTGCAAGTGACAACAGGAAAAACTTACCAAGAAAAGAACATCTGAAACTCAGATCTCTGCCTATTGTTTCTGTGGGGTCTCAGGGCAAAGCCAACAGGCAGAATTGGATGACTTGTGCAGTAGTCCTGGGCTCTGCTGCACTGTGACCAGGCTAAATGTTTATCCCGATTTGTTTCCTTTTTCTGGTGGGAGTTAAGAGAAGGAAAAGGGCTGAGCTGCTCTTATCTGTGGGCAGGGCATGGCAGCTTGTGTAAGGATTCTGTGGGAAGAGAGCATAATCTAGTGGAATTGATTTTGTGTGTGTGTGTGTGTGTGTGTATGTGTGTTTGTGTGTGTGTGTGTGTGAGTGTGATGGATCTTGAACTCAGAGCCTAGGTTCTACTCCTGAGCTCTTTTGCTCAAGGCTAGTGTTCTACCACTTTGAGCCACAGCACCACTTCTGGTTTTCTAGTGGTTAATTGGCAATAAGAGTCTCACAGGCTTTCCTGCCCCAGCTGGCTTTGAGCTGTGATCCTCAGATCTCAGCCTCCTTAGTACCGAGGATTACAGGCATGAGCCACCAGCACCCAGCTTGGAATTGGTATTTGCTAGTCTTACCTTTTGTAACACTGATCAGGATATAGTTCAATAATTACTTATTGCCACATAGGTATGGTGGTATGCATCTGGAATCCTAGCTTCTTGGGAGGTAGCAATAAGAGGATAACAGTGTGAAACAAGCTAGTGGGACCCTATCTCAACTATAAACCATGTGTGGTGTGCATGAATGCAATATCAGCTATTCAGGAGCCAGATGTAGAAAGATCATGGTCTGAGGTCATTCAAACAAAGGTACAAAACCATGTCTGCAAAGAAAGTCAAACTAAAAGCAAAAGCCCTTGACAACATGGCTTAAGATGGAGAGTTACTAGTTCAAGCATGAGGCTTTGCATCCAATTTCCCAGTACTGTCAAATAATAATAACAGTTATTATTTGTCATTGTAAATAAAATTGTTGATAAAAAATTAACATTACATTCATGATGTCCCAGCCCAGAGCCCAGAGCTTAATATACTAGTGTCCTATAGACACTTAAGGAATGAATGAATGATCGATCTTGCTATATAACTTCTTTGTCATACTTGTAGGGAGACAACCCTGGTGGTCTATGTCATGACCCTGGTGGGCATGGTAGTATATACATTCACCTTGAACCTGGAACACCTGTGGGTTGTGTTCATCACTGCTGGTACAATGGGGTAAGTTTAATTGCAACTGTTTAGTTGAAAACACCATTGCATGGATCCCAGCACTTCCAGTATGCTAGAATGCCACATAGACCCCCTGCTGCCTTGGACATGTGGAAAGGGTATACAGGGGCCTTGATACTACTTGCAGTATGCTAGGCAGCCTGTGCTCTTCTGCTGGGGTGGAGTGAAACATGTTCTATGCCCTTTAAGACCTCTGGGATGCTAAGAAATGATTAACATCTCTTAGCTTTGCCTGGGAACACAGTGTGTCAATGATGGTACACAGGGCTCAGAATCAGAAGTTTGGGGCCAGAGTCTAAGTTCTGATGGTGACTGCTGTCATAGTCAGGCCAATCAACTGTTCTGAGCTTCAGTTTCTCATCTGTCAGTGAAAGTAAGTGTGTCGTGCTTTGTCGAGTTGGAGGGATTGAGAGAGACCAGTGTCTTATGCCTGTAATCCTAGCTACTCAGGAGGTTGAGATCTGAGGACAGTGGTTCAAAACCAGCCTGGGAAGAACATCCATGAGACACTTATGTTCAATGAACTACCAAAAAGCTGAAAGTAGAGCTGTGGCTCAAGTGGTAGAACACTAGCCTTGAGCAAAAGAAGTTCAGGGACAGCTCCCAGGTCCTGAGTTCAAGCCCCAGAACCTACACACACACACACACCCCCCACACACCCCCACACACACCCCACCTTCCCTCCCCAACAATTCAGGATATGAGAACAGTAAGGGGTGGTACAGATGGAAAGAATTAGAAGTGAAAATTTCTAGATCTATTATTTGAAGAAATGTATGAATCAGCACTCCTTTCACAAGGGCCTATGCCGCACTTCACCCCTCAGTTACTTTCTTTTGGCAGTGCCACTGTGTATGTGAGTAGAGGAGAGACACCTCAGACCCTTGGTCCGGCCAGATGGCTAGTCTCTGGAGGGACATGCCAAAGATGAGCTCTTTCTTGGTTTCAGAGAGCCATGGAGATGCTGCCCAATTCCAGAGTCTTTCCACTTCCTACACAGGGTCTCTTGGCTGAAAGTGAAACACATTAGACATTCTTTTTTTTTTCCTGTGGCTGTTATGCTTTTAATGGAGAGGTATAAAATGCATCAATGCAAAAGAATGTTTCACATACTTGTCAGCATAGTGATTAATAATGTAAAATACAGTGTTTAAGAGCTCAAAAGAGAAACCACAAAATTTTCTGCAACCTAAGATGTTGGAAAGACTCAAGTTGATTTGAACCCACCACCTTTATGTTAGTAATTCTCAATGGTATCTGAGGGTGGGGGTGGGGGGAGAAGAAAATAAAGGCTCATTATAGCACACATCAGACATTCTTGCCTTTCTGTAAATGTTGCCATTGCTGGCTGCAAAAACATCCCTGGAGGATCCCATGTATCTGAGGATAAGGCATACTAGTCTACAGAATCCTCTTTCCTTGGTATGGCCATTTGGGGATGGCCAGATTGTTAATGGGCCTGGCATAGCTCACTGGGAGAGGGAGGGTAGGAGAGGCAGTGGGTCCCATCCTTGTTCTGCAAGCTCTCTGTCACCGTGTTCTCTGCTCTGGACTTCAGCTTCTTCATGACTGGCTATCTCCCGCTGGGATTTGAGTTTGCTGTGGAGCTCACGTACCCAGAATCCGAGGGAATGTCATCTGGCCTCCTCAATGTGTCTGCACAGGTAGAGAAGCTAAGTTTCCTCTTTGTTCTCTGCCCAGCTTGACTGGTGTTCCCATATGGCAGCTCAGTTCTCCCCAGGAGCTCATGGACTGGACTCTAGTTTCTAATCTCTCTTATGCTTTGCCAGGTATTTGGGATCATCTTCACCATTGCTCAGGGCCAGATTATTGAAGACTATGGCACCTTGCCTGGGAACATCTTCCTCTGTGTATTCCTTGCCCTTGGAGCAGCTCTCACTGGTAAGTAGAGAGGGGTGGGGTGGGATGGGGGGAAGGGCTGAGAGTCAGAGGAGGCTCAGGCTTTTGGTAATTTGGGACTCTTGTGTATAGATGGGAAATGCACATGCTGGGGGACAGGTAGGGATGATCGTTAGGAAATCATTTTAGGAGGTAGTAGCAGGATTGTGTGGGATGTGAAGAGGCCTTGGGGTCAGACAGCCTATTCATATGTGAAGACAGACTGACACTGACCTCTGTGGTTGTTGGGTATGTGAAACAACCTCTGGGAATCTAATCTGTAAAATTAAGATAGCTGGTGATGGGTGGAGCAATGTGTGTAAAGTTCTAGCACTATAAAAGACTTAAAGGGACTTTTAAGGGAAGTGACCCATCTGTAAGAGAAGGCCAGTGTCATTATTGGATTCTGCCTCTCCGGGACAGCAGTGGTGCTTGGGCTTTAGTGAGTTGACTCACTTGAGATATCTGATCACCTCTCTCAGGTGAACTTGACCATTGAATCTGCTTGATAACTCTTGTCTTTGCCATTCAGCTTTCATTAGGGCAGATCTCCGGAGGCAGAAGGCAAACAAAGATGTTCCTGAGATAGTGAGTATGAGGAGCTTCATGGGTATAAGATCTGGGTCCTGAGGCCAGTGATGAAGCTGAGCCAACACAGGTGGGGTCATGGGGGCTCCCAGAGGGTCTGGTTTTGTGATGGCTCTGAGGCCAGCTCACCCTGTACACATACATTCAAAGGGTTTCCTCAGTGGCTGTTGGTTCTGCCATTGCTTTTCTGCTGGTCTTTTCTGGGCTCTTTCTCCCACTTTCTACCCTTCTGGCTCCCTGCTCTTGTCCCCAGAACATACGGTGGTCATCCACTTCTTGCCATATTAAGGTTTTTGGAGTTTTGTGACTAATATGTTGGAAGATGACTGTTTGGACAAGTTCTGTCTGTGGCATTTCTTGGGGAAATGGATTTGTGGTCATATATGTTTTTGAGTTTCTAACTGTTGCTAACTATTCTCTAAGAATGTACTGTCAGTTCAACCAATGTGCATTGCTGTAGCACTGTAGAGGTGTGCTAAGGCTGAGTATTCCTCATGTTAATAGTCTTGGCTAATTTTCAAAGGCAAAACTAGTTTTCTGCAAGAGATGAGTTTAGTACTTAAAGATATGTGTTGGCAGATAGACAAGAATCTTCAGTTCTTCAATATTTGTCTCCAGATGCCATGTGCTGGCATCTGAGCTGGCAGGCGTCTGAAGCCCAGCAGGGGGAGGAGCCTAGGGGAAGAACTTCATCGAGAGACAGAGAGACAAACCTTAAAGCAAAAATGATGCTCTGTGGACTTGCATGAGGATCAAGAGCCACTGTGGACAGAGGCTTGTGCCTGTGTTACATACAGAGACATACTGATTGGATACACTTTGGTCAATAAGTAGATAAAAAGCTTAGGAAAGGGTATCTGTAATAAAGCAGGGCAGATTAATTTTTTTTGGGGGGGAGTAAAAAAAGATACATTGTGTCTAGTGTCATGAGATTTTGCCCTGTTACTGGCAGATAGAGGTGAACAAGAATACAGAAATCCCCTATCATCTTACCCTGTACATTTATTTTTGCATGTTGTCATCTATGCACCTGTAGTTTATGTATGTTTAATTTTCTACTCTACATGTTTGCTTAAGACAGCTTGATAAACTCTGCAAACAGTTATAGTCTACTACAGCCTTATGTCTGCAATATACGTATTTCTATCTTGTTTACCCTTCCAGGTGTTCTAATATTTCCTTAGTCTTGAAACCATATTGGGGTCTGCCTGGTCCAAGTTTGTTGGCTTTGCTTGAGTCTGGTATGTTGGAAACTGTGCTGAGTAGCTGAATAGAAGCCTTAAGTTTCAGTCATGATTCTCACTTGTCTCATGTCCTTGGATAATTCACTATGTGTTTCTGGATCTTACTGACAGAGTCAGTGACAACTTGGTATTAAGGGGAAGTAAGATCATGCTAGAGCTGACACTGGCAAGGAAGCTGCCACTGCCACAGGGCGTGCCTCCTCTGAAGCTGGGTCATTATGGGTACCTCATGCGGGTCAGTGAAACTCAAGGAGTTGCAGACAAAAAATGTCAGAATCAGGCACAAACAAAGCAGGCACCATATTTGTCTCTTTCCTTCCCCCATCTCTCTCTCTCTCTCTCTCTCTCCCTCTCTCTTTTTCTCTCTCCTCCTTTCTCCCCCTCTCCCCCCCCCACCTGTGATGTCAGTAGTAGGGCTTAAACTCAGAGCTAGGGTACTCTTCCTTAGCTGTTTTGCTCAAAGCTGGTGCTCTCCCACTTGAACCACACCTCCACATATGGCCTTTTGATGGTTAATCAGCTTATAAGGGTTTTGTGGACTTTCCTGACCTGGCTGGTTTCAAACCATGATCCTCAAATCTCAGTGTCCTAGGTAGCTAGGATTACAGGCATGAGCTTCCAGCACCCAGTTCAGATCTCTTCACAAGAATGAGATGTGTAGTTTCAACAAAAAGAGAGATAAGGCTAATGACTGTCCTTGAATTTGAGTTTTTGCTTTGAGTTTTCCATTTTTCTTCCAGCACATAGATAGATGATAGTTATGCTTCAGTCCCTACAAGCCTGTTTCTGGTAGTGATCTCAAGGCCGCAGGTGCCTGGGCATTTGTGTATGCTGTATATGCTGGAGAGCTGCTGACTATGGGCATCAGTTGTCTGACTAGACTCATGCCTGAGGCTAGTCTGATGCTGAAAGGTTAGCAAGACTGAGGAAGGGAAAGGGGCATACGTAGCGCTGTTGCCCATGCCATTGAATGACCAGGATGCCCTCCATCTGTTCAGCTGGTACCGACCTTAGTTTGGCCCTGCACCTGCCCCTTTAGGCCTTGAATCGTGTTGACTGGGCAGCACTGTGTCTGTGTCCAAGGCCTTTTGCTAATTAGAAGATCATTTTTTGCTTTTGTGAGACAGGGTCTCATTGTATATCCCAGGCTGGCCTTGAATTTTTGATCTTTCTATCTCAGTGCTGGGATTTTAGGCATGCACCACCATGCCTGGGTCAGACAAAGCATTTCTTGAGTTGGTAGTATTTGTCTGGGACCTAAGAGAATTACAGGTCATACTTAATTTCAAACCCATATAATGCGAATGGCCTAAAGTACTCTTTCCTAGAATGAATCCTGTGCTATGATTTCCTTGGTAAAGCCAAGGGCAAACTGTTTCTTAGCCTATGTTCCCCTAGGCATGAAGTACAAATATGTAGCCATTGAGTTGATATAGACAATTACATGTGGTGCCTTTAAAACACTGTCTTTGTGGGTTTTTTTTTTTTTTTGGTTGGTCATGGGGTTTGAACTCTGGGCTTGGGCACTCTCCCTGTGCTCTTCAGCTCGAGGCTAGCACTCTACCATGAGCTATAGCACCACTTCCAGCTTTTTCTGCTTATGTGGTGCTGAGGAATTGAACCCAGGGCCTCATGCATGCAAGGCAAGCACTCTATCACTGAGCCACTTTCCCAGCCCATCTTTGCATTTTTGTTTTTTTTTCCCCCATGAACATTATGATGCTACTTCTCATCATGGGGGCCACCTCTGAATGGAAGCCATAGGCTTGGCATGTTGGGCAGCTAGTTGGTGGTGTGTGGTGGAGTTTCTGGCTGTCAGGATAGGGAGGCAGGGTGGGATTTGCTTGTTTTAATCCCAACAGCGAACCTGAGGCACTGTACTTGGGATGAGTGGGATGGTTTGGTGGCCCTAGCATCATAGGAAATTGGCCTTTATCTTTGCTGAGGTCTGATGAGGTGATGTACCTAACTAAGCATGCTCTAGGTAGGACCTGTTGTTTCTTGTTCCTTTCAGTTGCTTCTGGGGGTAGAATGGACACTGGCTCATGTTCCCACTGGTTAGAGTCATAGCCAGGCAGTTGCTCCAGCCAGGGAAGGGTGCCTTGCTTTGCCTCGCAGGACTACCTGCTTGCTTTGCCTTGCAGAAAGTCCAGGAGGAGGAGGAAAGCAACACCAGCAAGGTGCCCACCATTGTGTCAGAGCATCGTCTCTGATGGAGACATGGCAGCCACTCAGGAACCATGAACACCCACTTGTTCATTCCACTCAGCTCACTGCCAGCAGAAAGACCTTCATTGGGACAGCTTCTGGAGGGAAGCGGCTGCAGTATTTGTGGCTGGCATGGCAGTGCCCATGCCTCCTGGAACCCACTCAAGAGCTTGGATGCTTCATGGAGGAAAGTCGGACCTTCCATCAAATGCAGATTGGATTATTGCCCCCTTCTCTATTAGGTCATGGGTGCTGGTTTGGGGAGAGGCTGATAGAGGGTGCTGGAGTCTAATGTTGCTTGATTCTTTCCTTCCTCTAGCCCCTTCCTCTCTTCTGGAGAATACTTGGAAAATTATCACAAGAAGAAAGCTTACTCAGGATATTCACTTTTTCTATTGTCTCAAGACCTTCCCATAAAGCCCAGTTCTCATGAAGAAGGGGCCAGCTGCTCTGCCTGGGGAAGAGTCATTCCTCAGCCTGAGTCATTGCACAAACCACTCAAGGGCACCGAGAGAAGGCACAATGGGAACATCTTCCATGGAACAACCCCATCAGGGCAATTCCCTCAGGACTCTTGGCCCAACCCCATTCTCCTGGTCTGATGTTGGAATCTGTCTCCAGACCCTCTTTCTTAAGCGCTGACCAGACAAAATATCAATAAACTTGGCCAAATTTGATTGTAGTCCTGCAGGGGATACTGTATCACCTAGGGGCCAAGAAGGTGCAGGGTGAGTTTGTGAAGATCTGCATTTGGGAACTCTGCTAGCCTGACTTGTGTTTTCATACAAAAGAAGTCTTTGGCCAGGGACTGCTGTGTGTCCAAGTTCACCTAGTCTATTTTTATCTGGACATTGCATTATTCCCAGGGGATAATCACAGCTAATCTCAAACATTCCACTCTGGCAAAGCTAAGGCTGCTTCTGAGAGATGAGAGGAAAAGGGTAGCCAGGAGCTCATCTCTTGCAATGGGCATTGAGTTAGCTTGAATTATAAACATATCTCGACTCTGGTGGAGGCAGTATTTGCACACCCAACTTCTCTTCATCTCCTGCTAGTGATTGATGATCTTTATCAGATAACCTCAACCTCAAGTGATTCCCTTTAAACCAATTCCAGTTGAGCTCTTTTCCTACCTAGCCTGCTGTGTGGCCCTACTCCCGGGCTTTGTATCTTCTGAACATAAGAAGAGATCTTAGTTAATTTTTCCAGGGTAGCTGTGGCTATGACCATGATGCTGTCTGAATTTAGTCTCTCTCATTATATCAGAGGAGCCTGGGCTGGTGTTATTGGGCTCTGTGTGTGTGTGTGTGTGTGTGTGTGTGTGCGCGTGCGTGCGCACGTATACACAGATCTGCACATGGAGGGGCAGAATTCCCTGTATAAGTAATACATGAAATTCACACTTTGGGTGGAAGGGGTGGGAAGGGTATCTACCTTTTTAATGGGAGAAAGATGTTTATTCAACTGCTCAAAAATGTATTAACATTGTTTACTGAATCCATTTTAAAAAGATAATTTGTATTTTCTATTTGTAACATCAGATGTCTTAAGGCAATAAAGATTCTCAAAGTGGTCTGTGATTATCTTAATTTTCTTTTTTTCTTCTTTTTCTCTTTTTTTTTGGGGGGGGTCCAGTCCTGGAGCTTGAACTCAGGGCCTGGGCACTGTCTCTGAGTTATTTTGCTCAAGGCTATCATTCTACCACATGAGCTACAGCTCCACTTTGGGCTTTTGGGTGGTTAATTGGAGATAAGAATCTCATACTTTGCTGCTTGGGCTGGCTTTGAACTGCAATCCTCAGTTCTCAGCCTCCTGAGCAGCTAGGATTACAGGCATGAGCCACTGGCTATCTTACATTTCTGAGGACTGAGGTATGGCGACGTTAAAAGGCTGGTAGAGGAGTAACTGTGACACCCCCCTTGTAGAAGCATGTTCCATCTGTTGGCATGGGCGCTACTCTCTATAAAAGAGTCTCTATATCTGAAGGTTCCGGTCTACCCACACAGAAGACTACAACGCTGTGGCTAGCCTGTGACCTTGACCTTTCTTCCTACTGTGTACACTCTGGAATGTGATCCCTGATGAGATGGCCCACTGTTGTCTCTGGCTCTGCCTCAAAGGGCGGCTGAAGAGTTGTTCCACAATCACCCCATTCCTGTACCAGCTTGCTCAGACTTGAGCCAACCGGTCAGTTCCCGTAGTTGCCTGCAGTTTCTGGCTACCGGTTTCCTTCTTAATTGTCTGTCTTCACAGCTGTGCTCATTTCACATCTGTTATGTGGGGATGTCAATGCTGTCAGTTTTCTGCATGATTCTTCCCTCCGGAGGTACCATGTGCTCATTGCATTCTAGCGCCAGTCATTAGCAATTCTTAGCTGGAGAGAGGCAATATTCTAATTCTACTATTCTATTTTTTTTTTTTTTGTGCCTGTCCTGGGGCTTGAACACAAGGCCTGGATGCTGTCCCTAAGCTACCTGAGTCACAGCTCCACTTCCTGTTTTTGGTGGTTCAGTGGAGATAAGAGTCTCATGGACTTCCCTGCCTGAGCTGGCTTTGAACCACAATCCTCAGATCTTAGTCTCTTGAGTAGCTAGGATTATAGGCATGCCACCAGCACCTGGCACTACACTTATTTTGGGTAGTACTGAGGTTTGAAGTCAGCGGCCTTCAACTTGCTATGCAGGTACTCTACTGCTTGAGCCTCACCTCCAACCTTTTTTTTTACCTTATTCTTCAGGGAGGATCTTGTGCTTTTACCTGAGGCCAGTCTCAGACCAATATCCTTATGGCCTTCCATATAGCTGGAGTCACATGCACACACTACCATGCTGGCTTCTTGATTTAGATGGGGTTTGACTCAATCCGGACTTGAACCCATCTTCCCAATCTCCTCCTGAGTAGCTGGGATCACAGGCATAATGATTTATCAGGGAAGGGACTGAGTCTGAGTAATAGTAATCTGCTACGCATAATGCCTGTTTTCCACCCAAATTGTCACTTTAGAACCTTCTGGATCTTACCTATTCTCACATGCAATTACATTTCCATGTGCACATCTAGAGGATCCACATCATCTTACACTTTCACTCCTTTCTCAGTGGTCTCCAGGTGGATTTATATATTCATGTTAATTCTATAATTTTTTTTTCTTGGTCATGGGGCCTGAACTCTGGGCCTGGGCACTGTCCCTCAGCTCTTCAGCTCAAGGCTAGTGCCACAGCACTACTTCCTGTTTCCTGAGTGGTTTATTGGAGATAAGAGTCTCTCAGCCTTTCCTGTATGGGCTGGCTTTGAACTGCGATCCTCAGATCTCAGCCTCCATGATTACAGGCGTGAGCATTGGAGCCCGGCAAGATTTTTTTTTTCAAAGTGCAGTATGGTGGGGATGTGAGGCCTGGAGTTACTCTACCTTTTTGTACCATAAAGATGGCAGTCTGAAAGGAAAGATAACAGAGAAATAGAATTGGAGTCTTGATTGGACCATTCCTGAAATTTATAATCCTTGTAACTTTTTGGTTATGCAGCCATGTTCTTTTTACTGTTTAAGGTGGATTTTATTCCTTTCACTTAAAGACCTGATGGAGACTTCCCAGGATATTAAAAACAGTAAAAATTCTGTTTTTTGTTTTTCTGGTTTTATTTTTGTTGGTTGTGGGGCTTGGAACTCAGGGCACTGGCACTGTCCCTGAGCTTTTTCACTCAAGTGTAGCATTCTACCACTTTGAGGTTTTCTGGTGGTTAACTGGAGGTAAGAATCTTATAGACTTACGTACCAGGGCTGGCTTTGAACTATGATCTTCAGATCTCAGCCTCCTGAGTAGCTAGGATTACAGGTGTGGCACTGGTGCCTGGCCCTTTGAACTTCCTTCAGACTCCCAAGTCCCATCTTTGTTTCTGATTTTCTTTTTAGCTCCTCTTTACCATACTGTAGCTACACTGATATATCTCCTGAACAACTAGTCCTACCTGCCAGTTACTGTTCCCTCTGCCCTAAATGCCCACTTCTGGTCTTGAGACTGAGTCCTAAGCATTTGAGTCTCAGCTGAAATCCCCGTGTCAGAACTTTTCTGGTGATCCAAGTTATGTCCAGCATTCTCCTACCCACCTGTTCTTGATCAAATCACCTTGCTTTCTACAGAATTCTGTCTGTAGATCTTCCATGAGCTGCCTTGTGAATCCTGTTTTGCCAACTATGTTAGGCCCCTGGGAGCAGGGTACTGCCTGTGTTGTTCATTTCCCTGCTCCATGAGACTGGCATGGACAGGTCCTCAATAAATATTTGCTGAAATAACAAGGGACCTTGCAAATAGACAAATTGAGTGGGAGGCGCAGCCAGGAGAGGCCCAGGCAGTGTTTCAAGAGCAACTGTCACTAGGGGACATTATTCCTAGGGTCTAGGAGGCTTCCTTCTACCATCATGCAGTTTCTTCAAAGCTACTTAATTGCAGTTTCTGTCTCTGTAGTTATCAAGAACTTCATTTTCTTCTTAAAGAAGAGGACAAGAAAGGGTGGTGACTGTTGAGTGGTGATCCTAGATTCTAGAATATGGTGAAGAGGAGAAGATTGGATTTCAGGAACATGAGAGGCCAGATGCCAGTGGCTCATGTCTATAATCCTAGCTACTCTGAGATCTGAGGATCACGGTTCAAAACCAGCTCAGGCAGGAAAGTCCATGAGACTTATCTCCAATTAACCACCAGAAAACAGAAGTAGCACTGTGGCTCAAAGTGGTAGAGTACTAGCCTTGAGTAAAAAAACTCAGGGACAGTGCCCAGGCCCTTAGTTCAAGCCCCACAACCAACCCTCCCATCTGCCCCTCACCTCCCCCTCCCCCAATAAAAAGCACAAGCAAGTGACAAGAGAAAAGCTGGAGGTGGTCAGGCTGAGTAGGTATTTTTTTTTTTTTTTTGGTCATGGGTCTTGAACTCTGGGCCTAGGCGCTATCCCTCAGTTACTCAGCTCAAGGTGAGTGCTCTACCACTTGAGCCACAGCACCACTTAAGATTTTCTGGTGGTTATTTGGAGATAAGTGTCTCACAGACTTTTCTTCCCAGGCTGGCTTTGAGCGGTAATTCTCAGATCTCAGCCTCTTGAGTAGCTAGGATTATAGGCGTGAGCCACTGGTGCTCAGATGGATTTGATCCAGGCAGAAAGCTGTGATGCTCTGGTCCTGGGGCTCAGGGAGGTGGGATGGAGGTGGGGGGGGGGCAGGGGAGAAGGCAAGGCTCTTGTCTTATGGGAGATCAAAGTACCAGGACAAGAAGAGGGTTTTTCTATTTATTACAAAATTTGTTTCACAAATACAGGTGACCATAAAGTCTAAAAACAGCCCAGACCCTTTCATTCTTCAACTACCTCTAGATTAAAGAGCCACCACAGTCTGCTCACACAGAGTGGAGCCTGCATTGGAAGAACTGCGCATCCCTTGGATGGCTGAGTGTTGGGTCCACAGCAGAGGAGCCTGGTGTGTGCAGACCAGCGGTGACGCAGCCCTTGGTCCCGTTGCTCTGGGTGGACAGCAGCTTTGAGTTTCACAGTCCTATGTTCCCACCACAAAAGCCAAATCAAAGAAGAGAAAGAAAAGGAGAGAACAACTACAAACAGCAGAAGACTGGAGGGGGTGTGCGGGTGGGAAGGGCTTGGAGTTTCCTGACTTGGATGGATAGAGTATACACTTGGAAACCACTGTGTATTGTATGGATGTGTTACATACATGTATGTATTACATGCATACAATTTATCTTAGAAATTTTTGTAAAAAACAATGTATTTTTTAAATAAAAAAACAAACCCCAGCAAAACTTGAGGCTAAAAGTAAAGGGGCTGAGGAGGAAGCTAAAAACAAAAACAAAAGGGCGGAGAGGAAGACAGAGACAGCAATGGGGAAGATGGAACCTTGGAGGGGGCGGTGCCAACCGACTTAATTCCTCTTCTTCTGTCTGGATACTGGTTCTGCTTCTAGGTACTGGAGCCCGACCAGCATTCCCAGGATTGAGAAACCTTAGACAGGAAAGAGATCAGTTCAGGAGGAAACACAGTGCCTTTCTTAAGATTCCCACACAGCCTTTGCGCTGGGCCTACGACAGCTGCTGTGGAGGTTCAGCAGGCAGGAGGAGGGGCTTACTTGCCACCATCAGAGGTGCCAGGACGCCAATTGTGGGAGCTGCAGTTCCAAACACAAACAACTCGGAGAGGAAGTGTCCCAAGGCAAGCAGGAAGGTCCACAGTGTGATATGGTAGAGCCTGCAAGGGAGAAATGGAGACAGAAATGGAAAGGAATGTTACTGCTTGTTCACTCTAAGCTCTCAGCTGATTTGATGTATACTTAGGGATATGACTGTGGCTTAAGAGAAAGGACACTGTTCCTGAGAAAACACATCAATTCCTTCTCTCCTAGGGCAAAAGAAAGGTTGGAGAGGCTAACCTGAGAGTATAGTCCAAGTGGTCAGAGCAAGTCTTAGCAAGGATAGCAAAACAGTGTCTGGATTATGGCAACTCTAGACAGTGCCAGTAATGTTGGCGCTTTGCTTGTCCAAATGGGCAGTATAAGCCATCTGCAGGTGTCTCCCTGCCAGCCAGTATTAATGTGACAGAAGCCACAGAGGACACAAAGAGCAAGCCATCTCTGGGCCTTTCAGGCATTCTTGTAGGATAGTCTGGTTACTTTGTGTCTAAGCCTAGAATGGCCAGATGTAAGACATGGTGACAGCCTGGAGAATGAGAACTTATTTCTCAGCTTTCTCTATGAGGTGATGAGAGGCTATTGGCTCATGGCTTCTTGGACTGCTGCTCCTTCTTTTTCTTTTTTGTGTTTTAAGGATGTAACTTAAAAAAATATAAAGTGCTTCAACTATATGAAAAAAATTGGAGAAAACTGCCAGGCACTGTTGGTCTATGTCTATAATCATAGCTACTCAGGAGGCTGAGATCTGAGAATCTTGGTTCAAAGCCAGCCTAGACAAACACATCCATGAGACTCTTATCTCAAAAAGCTAGCAAAAAAGCCAGCAGTGAAGGCATGACTCAAATGGTAAGGTGTCAGCTATAAGTGGAAAATGTGGGAGTGCAAGTCCCTGAGTTCAAGCCTCAGTACTGACATACACAAAACAAATTAGAGAACATGATAACGAACCCTAGTGTAACCTACACCCAGCTTCATCAAACTTTAACATTTAGATCCTTTTTTCCCATTCATGCTGGGAAAGTGCTCTACTATGAGCTACATCTTCAGCTGGATACTCTTTTCCTGAGACAAAGAGTTCAAAGAACTAAAGTATTACAGAAATAGAGTACAAAGAAACAAAACACTACAGATATCAGTTAAAACTCCTACCGTATTCTACCCTGATCCTGTGCTCCCTCTCTCCTCCGCAGAACTAATCATTATCTTAAATTTGATGTTTATCATTCTGGTGCATCTTTAGTAAAGGAGTACATCTGTGTTCATTTGGAGTTTCCATTTAAGAAGGGAACAAGATCAGGATGTATGTCATAAGTGCATGGATCAAAGTCCTAGTTTAGAAAGGACTGGAAACACAAAGTCAGCATTTGCAGCTGTCCTGGGTTGGGAGAGGGGGAAAAGTGAATGGGTAACAGAGGTAAGGATTGTCTTTGCTCATTCCAAAAGCACAGCAAACAGAAAATATAGCCCTACCAAAAATTCATCATGCTAAAGGTCTTTATCCTTCTTTCTTTTCCCTCAGTGCCCAAGAAGTAGGATGGCTATCTATTATCATTTTACCAATGAACGTAAAGATGAGACCATGGTGCAGAGAAAGCAAATAACTTATTGCTATAAAGCTAGTTACCAACAAATCTGAGACTTAAATGCATGTTCTTGGTTTGTTCTCCATTAAACCATACTACTTCTAAAAATATGTGTCTATCTAGGACATGTAAACCATAGTTTGAAGTTTAAAAAAATTAAAAATAAAGTTGGAGATCAAAAGGCTAATAGTTTTGCTTCAAATCCCACTGAGTCATTCTTCCTCAGTTTAAATTAATTGGGTCTCTAATATTCAGGTCTGCAAAGTCAGGAATAAAAACCACTGCCTCCCAGTGCTACCAGGAGCCTTACTGATCAAGGTCATGTAGATGAAAACTCCTGGTATAATTAGAGCCATGCAATATGTGTTATTGCCTCCTCTCTTCCCCAGATATTGATAGCCTGAACAAGATAAAAATTCTTCAGCTGAACCAGCACAACTATGTTTATTGCAGCATTATTTACCATAGCTAAGATCTGGAACCAACCCAGATGTCCCTCAGTAGATGAATGGATCAAGAAAATGTGGTATATTTACACAATGGAATTCTATGCCTCCATCAGAAAGAATGACATTGACCCATTGTTAGGAAATGGAAAAACTTGGAAAAAATTATATTAAGTGAAGTAAGCCAGGCCCAAGAAACATAGGTCCCATGGTTTCCCTTATTTGCAATATCTAGTATATGTATGAGTCAAGCGGAAAAGGTCAGATAATGTGATGTCAGGAAAATGAACCTTAGATATGTATTTTAATGTTTTTTTTCTTTCATGCATGTGTTTCTAACGATTTATAAGATTATCTCTTTGTTGCTTTGTATGTCCCTCCCCCACAGTATAACCCCTGCTTTCACTATATTTGATGTCAGTATAACTTGTGGAGGAGATGGGGAAAAACCAGTTGTTTAAGGATACAGGTGGACCTGTTGCAACAATGAGAAGTACAAGTTGTCATGTCCAAAACGAGCTTTACAACGTCGGTGTGGGGGGGGGAGGAGGGAAGGAGAAGGATTGGAATTGGGGGGGGAGGGGGGAGGCTGGGAAGTGATGTGAAGGGTAAACAAAGGAGGAGGCTGCAATGCTTGGTAAGAAATGTACACATTATCCTGCCCATGCAATTGTAACCCCTCTGTACAGTATGTTCACAAATAAAATTAAATTAAATTAAAAAAAATTCTTCAGCTGAGCACCAATGGCTCACATCTATAATCCTAGCTACTCAGGAGGCTGAGATCTGAGGATAATGGTTTGAAGCTAGCTCCGGCAGAAAAGTCCCCATGAGACTCTACAATTAACCACTCAAAAATTGGAAGTGGTGCTGTGGCTCAAGTGGTAGAGCGCTAGCCTTAAGCACCAAGAGGCTCAGGGACAGTGCCCAGGCCCTGAGTTCAAGCCCTACAACCAGAAAAAAAAATAAAAAAAGAATCCTTCAGTGTGAAGCTGGCCTTTTGACAGCCTCACACCTAGTGAACTGAGCAATGTTTCTACTCTGTGGGAAAGAGATGGGGAAAGAGCTGGAGCCTCCTCTAGTGGTTAGAGTTGGTAACTGCACCATGCGAGCCTTAGTACCAAGGGAAAGGCAGCATGCAGGTTTTTACCTCTTCTTGACTGCATGAGCTTGGTGTCAGTTTACTTGTGGATAACTCTTTTGCATGGCTCAAAATTTCTGCTCATTCCTGTTTCCTAAGGAGACATGTATGTGTGTGTGGCTACTCTAAAAGGACTATACTGGGATTAGAGGCTGTAGCTTACCACAAGGAAGGGCCTGGATTTGATCCATAGCACTACTGCAAAACAAACAAAGCAAGACAAGAAGGGCATCCTACATAGCAGAAGGCAGATTCTTTGGTAAAGGAGAGGAGTACCCGTGTGGGTAGCTCACGCCGTAATGCTAGTTACTCAGGAGGCTAAGATCTGCGGATTGAAGTTTAAGGCCAGCTCTGGCAGGAAAAGTCATGAGACTCTTATCTCCTATTAACAGCCAGAAAACTGGAAGTGGAGTTGTGGCTCAAAGTAATATAGTGCTAGTCTTGAGCTAAAGAGCTCTGGAATAGTGTCCAGGCCCTGAGTTCAAGCCTCATGACTGACCCAAAAAAAATTAAAATTAAAAAATAAAATAAAAAAGGAGAGGAGTGTGATACAGACAACTAGATAATGCTGCCAGTTTGCTAAGTCAGTTCCAAAGAATTTTCAGATTTTAAAGAAAACCTGTTGTGGCTATCACAGTTTTTCAGATGAAAGCAATGGACCCTGTTATTATCCATGTTCTAAGCTTATGTAACAAGCCTAACCATAGGGTGATGGGTATGCATAATGCTAAAGGATGCTAAAGGTCTTCTGTTACATACGTCTTGTTGTGAATGTCAATGGCACAGAGGCAGCGAATCACTGAGGAGAGCAGTGTCCAGATCCCAAAGGTCCGGGCTTGCAGGCCATTCACTGTGTAGAGAGTGAGGGAAAAAGAAAATAAGGGTTGAGAGGAGAGTTTCCTTCTTTCTAAATACTTCCTGTTTCTCTGTGATTTATAACAGGTAGCTGAACTTGCCCTTCCTATGCCTGAGCCCACAGGGTTCTAGTGCCAAACCAGGGGACTAGAAGAAATTCCAGAACAAGAACTGTTTATATCCTCCTCATTGTCTTCACTTGGGAGTTCCAACAAAAAAAATTCAGTTAGGCAAATAGCTCCTGGATGTAGCTTACATCCTTTGGAAGCTGAGAGGCTGTATTAGAACAGCTTTGGGAGAGAAAGGGGTCTGTTTAGATACTTAAAAAAGGCCAACCTGAACAGGAGATTCAGCAACAATCTAGATGCTATAAAGATGTAGTTTTAGTCTGTGGGTCTCTTTCTGAATCTACCTTTACATTGTTTGAGCCACAGCTGAAGCAGGCTAGCTTCCTGGGCACATGGAAATGGCACTGTTTCTTGGGTGTGCTGGAGGCACTCTATTCTTGGTGAATACATTCTGACACTGTTGCATTAAATATCTTGATTTGATAATATGGGTCATATTTCAATACAACAGTGGTTCTTTACCAGTATGTATCAGTACTGGGACTTGAACTTGAGGTCTTGAGCTCTTACTTGGCTTTTTTGGGGGGTCAGTTGTGGGGCTTGAACTCAAGGCCTGGATGCTGTCCCTGAACTTTTCTCCTCAAGGCTAGCACTCTACCACATTGAGCCACAGCTCTACCTCTGGTTTTGTGGTGGTTAATTGTAGATAAGAGTTGCATGGACTTTCTTGCTTGGGCTGGTTGTGAACTGCAATCCTCATATCTCAGCCTCCTGAGTAGTTAGGATTATAGGCATGAGCCACCAGCACTCTGCTTGGGCTTTTTCTTCTTCTCATGGCTGGGGCTCTATTACTTGAGCTATGCCTCCACTCCCACATTTTGCCGATTAACTGGAGATAAGTCTCTCAGACCTTTCAGTGTGTGCTGGCTTTGAACCATGATACTTAGACCTTAACCTCTGCAGTAGCTAGGTTACAGGTGTGAGCCACTAGCTCACAACCCCAGGAGCTTCTTAGTATCAAGCAAGAAGTTTTATAAAATTACTATGGTCTAGACACTAGACCAGTTACAAGGTACTCTCTAAAGGTAGGCCCTGCCATGACTACAAACTAGAAATGCTCTGCTCAGGTGATTTAAATGATCAGTCATCGCTCTAAGGCATCCAATGGATTAGAAATGCCTCAACAGTGAAAGCACATTTACTTCTTTTGCTGGTCTGTCTGTTGACAAACAGCGGAAATTTCAAATGAGTTGGGAAAGTGGTCAAGTCCTTGCCTAGCGTGTGCAAAGCTCTGGGTTCCATCAGCACTGAAAAAAAAAAAAAGAATTTCAAAGGACAAGGTTGCCAATTGAAAGTTCCATTAATGTTTACTTAAGCTTTAAGGATTTTTTTGTTTGTTTGTTTGAATCATGGAGCTTGAACTCAATCTCTAGGGGCTGGCTCTGTGCTTTGGTGTTTAAGGCCCGCACAGCTCCACTCTCAGCTTTTTTTTTTGGTTTTGGTGCTTAACTGGAGAAGAATCTCCTGCCCTGGCTGGCTTTGAACCATGATTCTCAGATCTCAGCCTCCTGAGTAGCTAGGATTACAGACTGGTTTTATGGACTTTTAACATTTGAAAACCTAACAGCTCTACCAAATTCATATCATTGAAGATCTTTAGAAGCAGTAAAAAAAAAAAATCCACATATCAACCCAAAATCTAACAGACCTAAAGGGCTACATTCTTTAAAAACAAACAAACTAGCTGGGCACTGATGGTTCATGCCTTGAATCCTAGCTACTCATCTGAGATCTGAGGATCACAATTCAAAGCCAGCCTGGGCAGGAAAGTCTGGGAGACTCTTATCATCAACTAATGACTAGAAGAAAACCGGAAGTGGCACTGTGGCTGAAGTGGTAGAGTGCTAGCCTTGAGCTGAAGAGCTCAGGGACAGTGCCCAGCCCCAGAGTTCAAGCTCCATGACTGACAAAAAACAAAAACAAAAAAGCAAAAAACAAAACTAGACAGGAAATTTCTCTAGTTTGTGGGATACTCAGGGGAAGTGCTTCATCAAAGGGCCAGGCCAGATACCTGAAGTCCTGTGTACATGACCATTTGAGGGTAGCATTGGAGGGGTGAAAAACCATTTTTCTGTTCAACTTTTCCAGTTCTTGACTCCTATTATATTTGAGCTTTGTTGAAAAGAAACCTTAGCCTACTTAATTTCACTTTAGACCCAGATGTTGCTGAAAAATGAGCTAGGTCAGAGCGTGAATCTGGGTTAGCTATAAATGTGGCACAGAACTGTCAGCTGCTATCAGACTGTGCAGCAGCTCAAAGTACCCCCACCTCAACATGACCAAGTGTGGCAAGCTGCAGAGGACAGGCGCTCTCAGCAGAGACACATGCGGGGAGAAGGGAGAGGTTGGGAGAGGTCAGCTTGAGCCTTGAGGTTTCACTGGGTAGGGGTGAGGGGGGCACTCAGAGGGATATGTGATTTCTGCTCAGGGACTACATCACAGTTTGGGAAGACTGTGGATTGGTAACTATACCTGCAACATGGAATATAAACTGTGATCTGATTACAGAAGAGGACTTTGAGCTACAATGAAAACTTCTTTTGTGGCATCCTACTGGGGCATCCTAGAATCACAAAGTAACTACTTTCTCCCTTGCCCTTATAAGGCTTTCTGGCCATACAAATTGTCTGGGGCAGTGTAAAATGAATAAAAAGGTATCCAAAGAAGCAGGTGAAAAGGGCCAAATGTGCTCTACAAAGTTTGTCACTCCAATGGCTACCAAAGACTAGGTTAGACAGCATCAGAATCACCTGGAGGTTAGAAACTAGATCCTTGGGCTTCTCCCAGGTTTAATAAATTGATTTGGAGAGAGAAATGGATACATATGTTTTGTTTGATCTTAAGTTTCCTGGGTTGTTCTTATGTAAAGTTTTATTTGGGAACTAGCTAGGCAACTCCTACATAGAATACTGTTCTTTGATTTCTTTTCTTTCTTTTTATGGGGGAGGCAGGGAAGAGGAGACAGTCTTACTATGTAACCTAGGCTAGACTTGAACTTACAATCCTCTTGCCTTAATATTTCTGATTGCTGAGATTCACACCCCTTGAGAGATCACAGGGATTCGTTTGGGACTTAGGACTTCGGAGGGAGGTAGGCTGGTGGATACTATGGTTGGTTTAACTCTGTGCCCCACTTTGCTGTCTTTTAGGGGACTTGTACACTCAGGCGGCTGAGGCAGCAGTGGAAGCCATGAAGGGCCGGCTAGCCAACCAGTACTATGAGAAGGCAGAAGCCTGGGTTCAGATGGAGGAGTAACTTGCCAGGAAAAGTCACTGCCAGCTACTTGTAAACAAAAGGGCTGGGAGTGGGGTGGGGCAGGGACAGGGTAGGGAATCTTATTTGGTTTAGGAGGGGAAAGTCTTTTATAGGGTGCTGTAAATCAACTTTTGTATTTTTTTTTTGATGCTTGAACTATGTCTTTGCTATTAGCAGAGATACTCTTAACTGTCCCTGAGGACCACTTTCTGGGGGAGTGGGGATTGAAATGCAGCCTAATGACCCAATATATTGTTATAAAGTTCAAAAAAAGTATTTCTGATTTCTGAGATTACAGCAGATACAGCAATGTATCATCATATCTAGCCTGTTCTATGATTTCTTACCGAGGTTTGGCTTGCCAGTATACAGCTTTTCATAGAGAAAGGTATGGTCTCGGAAGCTCTGAAGCGTGTTCCCCATGGCTATGATGGACACTATGACCAGCCAGCTTCGTAACACATTCAGGAAACGGCTCATGACTCTCCTCAAAGCAGAGAGGGTATTTTTGCTTTGAAAACAAAGCCATAGGACAGGTTAACCTGTGTTCCAGTTATGAGGGCTATCCAAGCTTAGTTGGCCAATCGCATCATAAACTCCTCCCCAATTCCTTTAAGCTCATCCACCACTGGTTTTCCTATCACACTGCTTTTATATTAACTTTATATAAACCCAAGTGTGTTGACCTTTACTCAAAGTGGCAGAGACCAACTAATACAATGGGTGGAAATGACAAATATAACAGGGGGAAAATGGAGAAAAGAAAGGGAATAGAGGAAAAGGCGGTGTACAGACATTACTATAAGTAGCAGAATGGATTTCTGTGTAAGGCTCATGGAAACTGCTCTCAATACTTAGTTATTCTGACAGCACTGACAGAGCAGTATGTATGGTAGTAAGTGTACAAACTTACCTTTTGTCAAGTAATTTCTTCAAATTTCAGTAATACCCCAAATTAAAGCTCCTTTCTCTTGGCTGGAATCAGTACCTCTAAGTCTTTCCTTTGTTATGAAAGTGGTTGCTGATGACAGATCTCTTCAAGCCTCATTCATTTGAGTAGAAATTATGTTGTAAAGGCACCCCTTAGGGCTGAGAAGATGGCTCAGTGGTAGAGTGTTTGCCATGCATGCATGAGGCCCTAGGTTTGATTCTTCAGCACCACATAAGCAGAAAAAGCCAGAAGTGGTGCTGTGGCTCAAGTGGTAGAGCACTAGCCTTGAGCTGAAGAGCTGAGGGTCAGTGCCCAGACCTAGAGTTCAAGCTACATGAGCGACAAAAAAAAAGAAAAAAAAAAAAAAAGAAAGAAAAGAAAAAAAAGGCACCACTTACAGACTTAGGTTTTTTTAAAACTCTGCTTCTCAGCAACACCATGCTTCATAAATTAGAATAATTTAAAAATTAAAAATAATTGTGACCTTACAACTAGTAAGAAAATTATATTGAGGAAGAAGGAGCAATCTTGGTGTTAAGTTGCAAGAAAAACTGCAATAGCCACTAATGCTTGGGCACTTGTGCCATGCACTGTGCCAACTCGGAACATATATCATCTAATACCTATAACAAGATAGGAAGGTGTTATTAGTATTTCCATTTTACAGATGAGGTGTGGGACGGAGTGGTCCAGTGATTTGCTTGAGGCCACACACCCACCCAGTTAGTATATAGTAGTTAAGACACAAGCAATGACTCACTGACAGTTTTTTGATGGAGTTCTCATTTTTGTGAAAGATCAGTATACCATCTCAACTCTTGCCATCAGATGGTATAGAAAACACATTAGTTGGGTTATATGCTTTTTGTTTAGATCAACTCTCACTAAGTAGTGATGGCTACCAGTCTGATTTAAATGAGACCTAAAGAATCTAATGACAGACCAGCCTCTCTCTCATCATCATCATTATCACCATCACCATCTCGGTCCATTGTTTATCTGTTGGTAGGTTAACTTCTTTGTCCTGAAGTGGTAATAAACTATCCTTTATCATTTTGGCAATAGAAGTTTCAATATGGTCCCACACTGCCCTGCTGAAATAGAGATTACAGTCATTAAAATCAGTAGTGATCCAAGACAGTGTGAAGCACTAGAAAAGAGCTGTAGAGAGGGAGGAATTGAGCTCCTGAGGGAAAGATAGTTCACAAAGGTGGACCTTATCCAAGCCCAGAAAGAAGAGGGGTATAGCGGGCACCAAAGGCACTTTCCGAAGTCCACCTCTATTTCTCAACCCTTCTCAAAAGGAGATTCAGGTCTGCTTCCAGGGTTAAGAAAGTAGAAGTAGGACTCTCTCTTTTCAGTAGAACTTATGTTCTTCTTGGTTTTCACAGGTCTTAGAAATCACAGCAGACAGCAGATGAAAAACTGAGCATTTCTGAATTGCCCTGTCAGTTCCTAAACCCCATTTCTCAACACTTTGAGGGCCTCTCAGAGTTATATCTTTCATCGAATATTGCTTCGGACTGGCCTAGCATGGGTGTGGTGTTAAGTCTTAAGAGTCAGAAAAGACAGATTCTTATCCTGGCCCTACTATTCGGTATCCATGTGGACTTAAGTCAGAACATTTACAATTTGCAGCCTCGGTTTTCTCATCTGCCAAATGGGAATACAATTATTTACCCGAAAGTGTTAGGAGAATCGCATGAGAACTGATTCTTGCACAATGGCTAGCTCGCTACAGCCGATCCTCCATTCTTCTATTCCTTCGTTCCCCTGATTTACCAAGTGCTCCCCATCTTCCCACATCCTTGTCTTCGTCCCTCCAACCTCTTTGGCCCAGAAGGTAGTCTCCCAGGAAACTTCTACTTTCCCCAATTCCCAAGGATCCTCACAATCAGATCCCACACAGACACCTAACAGCTTACTCTTGCAAATTATCCTACCTGGCGACGGGACTCTTAGCACTGCAGCAGTAATCCTTCCCGACAGCTCCAGACCTGAGTCCATATGGGCCACCTGTCTCCGCCCCCGACCTCAGCCGGGGCCCAGGATTGGATCGTTCCTATCACTCCTTTGCTCTGATTGGCTGCTTCGGTTTCTGCTGGAGCAGGCGATAGGGAGTGAACACCTTGGCTGCCAATCAGAGGTTGCCGCTGCCTAAGCTACTCTCCTGGTACGTCGTTCACGCAGAAACCCTCCTCTTGAGCGTGGCGGAACTATAGGTTTGGAGTTAGTCTTTTAGGGGCGGAGACACAAAGAGAGTAGTGCCGGGTGGAGGGCGGGGGGCGGGGGGTGGAAGGAGGTTGTGAGCTAGACCTCCTTGCTACCCACAGCGGGTGGGGGAGCTTGGGCTCTACTTCCGCGCCGCACCGCGCCGCGTCGTGATGACGACATTTATTCGCGCCGGGAGCCGAGCGTTGTCCTCGCCAGGCGGCGGGCGCCTGCGCAGTGGCTCCGAGCACGGGCGGTTGCTTGTTGGTTGTTGTAGTAACCGGGGAAGCCACCTTCGGCGGCTGCCGTGAGCCCCGCTGCGGAAGAAGAAGGGAGGTAGGAGCCGAGCGCGGTCCCCGCCTGCCCGCCCCCCGAGCCATGGGAAAATGAGACAGGTAAACGCCTGCGCCGGCGCGCTCTGCTACTGGAGGAAGCTGTGCCCCCAGATCCGGGCGGGCGCCGTCGCCCGCACTTCCCTCACGGAGACCCGAGCAGCTAGCTGTTGGCTTCCGGGCGCTCCGAGCTCTAACGCTGCGCTGAGGTTCCCGCGTCCTTCCCGGGCCGGGGGCGCACCGGCCGGCCTGCCTGGGGTTGGGGTGAGCGGGGCCGGGGCCGAGGGCAGACCTCTGTGAAGCGAGCGCCCCTAATCGTCCCGGAGCTGGACGCCGTTCCCCTCTCCTGCCGGGAGCCTAGGGAAGGTTGGTATCCCTTCCTGCTTGGAAGGTGGTGCTTTAACTTCAAAGGACTACCTACACATTTTTGGAGAAGATCCAGAAATCTCTTTGGGAATCTTCCGAAGAGAGATGTTAGATATTGTCCATCCCCTCCCTTCCGTCCCCCCCCCTCCCTCCCGCCACTGAAGATCAGCGAGGGATGTTTATCAGGCTCGGTGTTGTCTTATTCGTAGTCTGATCCTGTATATTGAATGCATAGGAAAATAATGAAGTTTGGAAAGATCGTCCTTCGCGAAAGATCGTTATTATTCTCAGTAATTGGGCTTATTAGGGTCATGGTCATGTACTTTGTTTCGAACGGGAAAAATATTTTGAATTAGAAATGCACTGTTGGAAGTTTCGTAATTTTAATGTCTGTTTGAGGTTCGGATCAAAGTTTGTGATTTTCAGTACCGGGAGAATAATTATTAAGTCTTGGAAGAGTATTTTGACTCTCTCCTCCCTCCTCCAGCTAGTTTTACGACCTGTGATTAGGGAGAGCATTTATTATTAATCATTCAGTTGCATTGGTTTTACTTGAAACATGGTAGCATCTTGCCTACGGTGCTTGTGATAAGAGTCTAAGTAAATATTTGCAAGCGTCTTGAACCTTGAGTTTCAAATTTTATTTTTAATTCGTTTCTGTAGCAAGGACTTTGTTTTAGACAATTAGCTACCAACCTCAGACTGCCATAAAAGTGAAATGAGTTTATCCTTATGTTTCAAGTTAGACTTAGTCTATTAAAAAAAAAAACAACCAAGGGAGAAACCAAACTTAATAACTTTCAAGTATATACAGCACAGTCAGTATCTTTGATAATGTTCTTGATTTTTGTGGCACATGTGAGGCACTGTAGTAGAGGGTAAGCTTCTTAAATAGTGTTGAATCTAGCGATTCAGATCTAGTGGGAAAGACTGGCGGGAATCTAAAGATTCTATACTATTTAAGATTCTGTTTGTTTTCATTATTTGGAAGATCGTCAGCAGAATGAAGCAATAGACAACTCTGTTGTGCTTCAGATCACTTTGCTTTCTTGCAGGAATCTGTGCCACCCAAATTGTCTGATCCAGTGAATCTGCAAGAAAAGGTCTGTGAGGCCCCCAGTCTGCTGACTGCATGACAAACTCTAAAGGAAATGCCTATCGTGATGGCCCGGGACCTGGAGGAAACAGCATCATCCTCAGAGGATGAGGAGGTGGTAAGCCAAGAGTAAGTAATTGTAAACTTGTGCTTGTAACTTTTACATTAGGAGAGAAGATGAATTCTTTTACTCAAAATGTCTTTTGTCCAGTATTTTTCCTTTCATATTGTATGGCTCTGGTTTTAGCTTGATCCACCATCGAATTCAAGTTAGATGATGAATGAACATCAGCTTCAGATGTTGTAAAATGCAGGTAGCCGTTGGGTGAACTTTTTTTATAAGAGATTCCAATGTTGGAGATTTAAAGAATTTTTCTATATTGAAGAAAAGTAAGTCTCCAAACTCTGACATTGATTGTGTTATGTTGTTTTTCTCAAAGCCTTTAAAATGATACATAGTGGTAATAGAAAAAAGACACATATGTTAACAGCAACTCTAGGGCAGGGAATTGAAGTTCTGTGGTCTATGCAGCATTTACTGAACAACAGTGGCTGTCCAGAGATCTTTCAAGCTGAGTTCAGTGTCTTGATTGCTGGATTTTCATAATTAAAATGAATGATAGTGGTAAGGGCAGCCACTGTAGATGATGGGGTGGGCTTTATTTGGAAATGAAATCTGGAAATGAAACTTACGTTTTATTTACTCTATTAAGATCAACCTTACAAATATCCACAAACTTCCTCAGGGAGCCTTATCGTGTTGGCTTGAGAATCATACTTATCTTTTCTAGATTTTAAAAAGCTTTGTTATTTTACCTCCTTTATTATTACTACTTCCACAGAATAGAGGGAGAAACAGGCTTAAGTTGAGATAGGTTTTTAGGTACTTGTGAGTCCTTTGGGATGTATGTGTGCCTTGTAACCTAAAAAGCAAGGGTATCGCTCAGGCTGTTTTATTGGGGTGTGGTTAGGACCGAATGGAATACTGTGTGTGAAATTACTTGATAAATTATGAAGTAATATACAAATGTATAATTCTTACCCATTTTAATACTGAATTTCTGATAGACTTTTAATAAGGTAGATTACATTAAATATCATTTGAAAAAGATTATTGAAAAAGATTTCTGGACAGGCTTCTTTTCAATATTAGATCATAGAAAATAATAATGATGTGACAGTATATTTGGGTCATTCTCTTCCAGGATAATTAGATAATTCCCTCTGGTTGCTTTGTCTTTTTGTGCCATTTTGCTTTTAGTATACTGTCTTTTACCCATTTTACAAAAATTTTAACTTCTGCAAGCAGTAGTTTTTCCATTTCTAAAGATTGTTTTTTTTATTGTGAATCAGGATTGTTTTTTTAACTCCATTATTATTTCTTGTTAGTGAGCTTTGCGGCTAGATATAAATAACATTATTATTGTGGTTTGTTATCTGTATTTGTAATTGAGAAATGCTAAGTTTTTAATAGAATTAGACTGAAAATATTTATGCATTCCTCTCTGACACTCATCTAGATTTCTAGACTTTTTGTTCTTTTTTCTTTCAGACTCTTCCTGTTGATTTTTTTTAATTTTTAAAATTGTTTTTATAAAGGTGCTATACAGAGGGGTTACAGTTATATAAGTCATGTAGAATACATTTCGTTTTGGACAATGTCACCCTTTCTCTCACTTTCTCCCAGTTTTCCTGTTGGTTTTTAACTATTAATCTGTTCCATCAGCTTTTTTCCTGTCAATCAGACATTTGTTTTATAAATTAAGATGTCTTAGTTTTTTAACCCCTGGATCAGAGGTTTACAGTTTAAAAGATTTAGAAACTAGACAGTCTTATGCCACTTAAAGAGGCAGATTTCATCCAAAGATATATATCCTTGTGTATGTCAGGTTGTCTCACATCTCTGTACTTTAGTAAAATATTACTGCCTTGTAATCCTGGACTTCAGGGTTAGAAACTGCCCAAGCAGTTCTTGTTTTACATGATGTTATTTCAAAGAGTAAATGTAAAGTATTTTGTATTTTGTTTGGGGATTCCAAATACAAATTTATATGTAGAAGTGGAACTCTCATATGAGAACTTGATACAGCATTTGTTTGGTCTTTGGGAAAGTAAAAACCTTCATGTCTATCATAGAAGGTAGCTTTATATAAGTTTAAAAGACCTGCAGCAAATAGTCATAAAGTGAGTGCCGCAGGATTTAGGGAATGAGAGCCATCTGCATGAGCAATAGTGCTGGGGAATCTCCTTGGAGATGGTGGGACTTTTTACATAGGCCATGGGGGAATGGCCTTAAATGGAACATCTGATGTGGCAGTGGCATGAGGAAAACACTGTGCAAGAATTCCAAAACTACTTTCCAGCGGTAGAAAGTATGTACTCTTCATGAACAGATGCTACTTGAAAACCATTGGACTTCCAATAGACTGTATCATACGACTTGTTCTTTTCAGTAATTAATCAAATTTTTTGTTCTTTCTTTCCCATAAAAATGGATTTTTCTTAATATCTAGCAGTTTCTGAGGTGAATGAAAATTTATAGAGTTTTCAAGTTCCTAGTCATTTGTAATTTTTTTCTTTAGCACCACCTGGTGGGAGCATGTTTTTAAAGACAGCAATCTGCCTGAAGGGTATTTTAGTTAACCTTAACTAAACCAATAATTTATCCAGTCTTTTTATCTCTCTTCTTAGTGGGTTGTACATGAAAAGATTTATTTTTCAGGGATTTGGCTTCCACAGACAGCATTGTTTGGGCCTTAGCTCTTCCCAGCTGCGCATCTGTAATTGTGTCCTAACTCCAGTTAGGCTCTTTTAAGTGTAGCCAGTAATCTATTGTTTAGCTGCCAAGGCATAGTGGTACCAGTTTGTAGCTAGTGTTAGACAGACAAGGAACTTCAGATACAGTCCAGAATTTCTGTCTAAGACTTCCTGGTTTAGGCTTCTAATTTTTCCTCTGTCCTCTGACAGAAAAAGTAGAATTGGAAGAGATCATAAGAATCCTTAAGCCCAATGCCCACATTTTACATGTGGTTAAGATAAAAAAACAAGCAAGCTGCAAAAAAAAAAAAAATTCCTCCTTGCTAAATTGCCTTATGACTCTAAATGAAAAGGAAAACATTCAAAGTGCTTAGAAAAAGGAAAACTGAGACCTTGAATTTTGTTTTACATCAGAAATGGCTATATATTAAGCACCTGTAAAGACCATTTCTCACCAGGAAACAAAGTAGATGTAGTGTTTGCTTTCTGTTCTTGATAGAAGCTGTTGGCAGCTCTATCCAAGTTCAGAGACTGCCTAACTTCTAGGTTGGCAGTCTGGCAAAATTCAGGTCTTTTAAAGCCTGGGTTGGGTGGATCTATCTTGATCCAGAGGTGTGATACAACTTTTGTGAATAGGTGCAGTCCTGTGAATTTTACAAAGAGGAGTGAATCTTGGCTGAATAGATCTTATTCCATTTAAGGGACGGATGAAATTGCCAAAAAATTGAGTTCAAGGTGTTCATTATACAGAACTTCACTGAAATGTAATTGTTTAAATGGCAAAAGGCAAAAAGAACATAGACATTGGGTCTAGAACCTGTGCATCATCTCTATGTGCAGTTACTTAGCTCTATGACCTTGGTCAAATAGCTGAACCTCCTTAAGATACTTGTTTCCATTCTAGTGTGGTCAAGTCAGTGAGACTATTTTTGGTACATAGGAGAGACTCAATTCATTGAATTCCCCCACCTCCCTTTACTACATATTAGCCCTGAGGAGGTTGAAGATTTTTCTAATCTGTGAAGTCTGTTGAAGTTTGAAACTGAGCTTTCCTAAGGACAAGGAAAGCCAGATATAAACCAGATATAAGAAGTCCCTTTCTGCTCAGTTTCATACTGGAGGAAGGTATATATTTTTCCATTTACCATAGGTTTTCTTTAAAATACATGATTTTAATTTGGGTACTTGTTTTAATTTAAGCTTCCTAGCTTAAAATGTTAGGGTAGATGATCAGATTGTCTTGAAAAGTGACATAAAGTAGGACATAAAGAGACGTATATTATTGAGAATATACTGTTTAGGATTTTTTAAGTGTTTAAGATATTAAAACATAAATCATTCTAAATAAGAAAGGAAATTTATTAAATCATATTTAGGCAGGCATTGATTCTATAATGATATCACCCAGGATCTCATTTTTGTCCTCCCAATCTGGCTCCAACTGACTTATTTACTAACAGCGCTAGGCTTTCCCCTCATCATCACACAATGGCTCTTGCAGTTCCAGTCTTCTTATTCTCATTTTACACCATGAAGAAAAAGAGGGGCCATCACCTGTAGTTGCTATAGAAGAGAAAGAAATCACTGTTTCATCAGGGAGTCTCTGAACACCTTTCATAGGCTCTGATTGGTTCACATGCTCATCCTGGAACCAGTCACTAAAATCGAGTGATGGACTTAATCCAGGCACATCCCTGCAACCGGGTTGATTTAATCTGAAACACATGGCTAAGAGTGGGAGCTGAGTGATTTCCCGTAGACTGTTAGGGCTCTCATTCCAAAAGGAGGAGGAAAATTACTGCTCTGTATCAGTAGCTTAGATTTTGAGTTGTAGATGATTGAAGCCTTTTGTTGTGGTTGTAGGGATCATCCATGTATCATGTGGACCGGAGGCTGCAGGAGAATTCCAGTTTTGGTATTCCATGCTGAGGCTATTCTCACAAAGGACAACAACATTCGAGGAATTGGAGGTAGGTCTAACATCTCCTATAGAAGGCAGAGTTGGCAGGACCCTCACATGACCCTGGAAAAAATTAATAAGACACAGAGAAAAGGCCTTGGCCATCAGAAAAATCTATTGAGTTGAATGATTATTTGAAATTTCTTAAATTGTTTATTGTATACATTTTCTCTGATTTTTTAAAATTTTATTTGCTTTTGAAATAGAGATTTGATACTTTTTTCATTCTGGCCTCAAATTTTTGATCCTCCTGCCTTTGTCTTATAAGTAGTAGGAATTATAGGTGTGCACTCCACCATGCCTCCCCATTTTTTTTTTTTTTTTGAGGTGGCATTGAGGATTGAATCCAAAGCCTTGTATTATACTCAGCAAGTGTCGTACTACTTGAGCTATACCACCGGTCCCTTTTCACCATTTTAGAGATACAATTTATTAACATTGAGCACAGTTGTGCAGTCATGATCTGTCTAGTTTCAGGACATTTTTTTTTATGGTGGTGCATATCTATAATATCATCCTTTTTTTTGGGGAACTAAGCAGGAAGACTGAGAGTTTGACACTAGCCTGGGCTACATAGTGAAAAGCAGAGGACTAGAGGTATGACTCAAGTGGCAGAGTGCCAGCCGTGAGGCAAGTGAACGCACAAGGCTCTGAATTCAAGCCCCAATACCAGCACACACAAAAAAAGAAAGACAGACTGAAGAAAGAAAAGAGAGAGATAGAGAAAAAGAAAGATAGCAAGGAAGGAAGGAAGGAAGCAAGCAAGCAAGCCAGCAGAAAGTCTGTGCCCCCAGCTGTGTGGAACTTAGATAAGCCAAGCCCCTTCTGTGCAGGATGGGGGCCTTCAGGACATTTTCATCACTCCAAAAGTAAAGCCTATACCCAGTCATCAGTCATTCTCCATTCCCCTATACCATTAGTCCTTAGCAACTAGGGCCTGCTACTGTGTGTAGATCTCTATTCTAGATATTCCAAATAAATGGGGTTATATAGCTTGTGGCATTCTATGTCTGGCTTCTTTTCACCTACGGTATTTTCGTGGTCCACCCATGTTGGATTGTTTATCAGTTCTTCATGCCATTTTATGGCTAAATAGTTTTTCATTGAATAGATATATCCATTCCTCAGTTAATAGGCATTTATGGTAGTCCCACCTTCTGGCTCTCACGCATAATGCTGTTAAAAGTATTTTGTGGACAAGTTTTTGTTTGAGCACCTGTTTTAATTCCTTTGGGTATTACTCAGAATGGATTTGTCAGGTTATTTGTTTAACTTGTTACATAATTATCAATTTGTTTTCCACAGTAATTATATCACTTTACATTCCTACCAACAATGTGTATCAATGTCTATGTACTCTAGTTTTTTTCCATGTCCTCATTAACATTATTTTCTACTTTCTTGATTATTGTCATCTAATGCATTAGAAATGCCATCTCACTGTGGCTTTGATTTGTGTTTCCCTGTTGATCAATAACATTAAACATCTTTTCATATGATTGTTGGCTGTTTGTGTATCTTATTTGGAGAAATGTCTGTTTAAGGCTTTGCCCATTTTAAGGATTGTGTTAGCTTTTTTTGTTGTTGAGTTGTACGTTCTGGATAGTAAATCCTTATCAGATATAATATTTGCAAATATTTTTCCTTTGTATTAAGTTTCAAAATAAGGAAATGTAAATCCTCTTACATTGTTCTTTTTCAAAATTGTTTTGGCTGTACAGGGCCTCTTGCAATTCCATATGAATTTGAGAGCTTTTCCATCTGCAAAATTGGCTCTTGGGATATTGGTAGAGAATTCACTTAATCTGCAAATCACGGAACGCTGTTGTGAGCCTAGGGCTAGACTGTAGCTACTTTCAAAGATTATAATATTATGAACTGTCATTGTTTGGTGGAAAGAGTTTGTTCTGTACTTATTCTCTTGGTCATTGGTTCAGATTTCGGCTTTAGCATTTACTAGCTGTGAGTCTTAGGCAAGTCACTTAAATTCTGTTAACCAGTAGTTTAGCTAAATGAGGATGATCTTAGAAATGTTGTGAGGATTACATGCAATTTTTTTTAATGCCTAGCACATAGTAGGTACTTCAAACTTGTGCCATTCATTCTACTTACTGAATAGAATTAACTCTTCATTTAAATGATTTTAAGATCTCATTACTCCACAAAAAGCCAGAAGTTCAAAGAACTATAAGCTTTCTTTGGGGATTTGGATGCTCCTCTCCTGAGTCCTTGTGTTCTAAACCCCTCAGCAAGTTGCTAGGTTACCATTTAAAGGGGACATGGTTCATTCATGTTCTCTGAAGCCTGATAACTGAAGACTGCTGAGAAATTATCTTTACAAATGATTCAAACCTTAATGTCAACCGTGGGTAATAACCACAGGTGAATAATACCCGCAAAACATGCTTCTTTTGGCCCACTTGTCACATACAGTAGTCTATGTATTCTATGACAATAAGCAGACCCTTCTTTTTTAATACTTAACAGTTATGGAAAAGTAATATCTACCAGTAGTGGATAATGACTGTTTTCTAGAACTTGTATCTTTTCTCTTTATACATCCCTATGGTAAAGCCACTCAAATTCTTTGCTTTTAATATTTCTCTATTTTTCTCAGTTTCTTGAGTTTTCATCATTTTATTCACCTTCCTTTATGAAGAAAACAAATAGTTGGAGTGACTTTTACTAGTAGCTGAATTGTTAAACAGTTTTGGTTTATAACTTTTTTTTTTTTTTTTTGGTCAGTTGTGGGCTAAACTCAGGTCTGGGCACTGTTCCTAAGCCTCTTTGTGCTCAAGGCTACTGCTCTATCACTTGAGCCATAGCACCACTTCCAGTTTTTGAGTGGTTAATTGGTTATAAGAGTCTCCTCAGGCCAGGCACTGGTGTCTCACGCGTGTAATCCTAGCTACTCTGGAGGCTGAAATCTGAGAATCACAGTTAAAAGCCAGCCTGGCCAGGAAAGTCCATGAGATTCTTATCTCCAATAAACCACTAGAAAACCAGAAGTGGCACTGTGGCTCAAGTGGTAGAGCGCGTGCCTTGAGCTAAAGAGCTGAGGGACAGCGCTGAAGCCCAGAGTTCAAGCCCCATGACTGACCAAAAAAAAAAAGAATGAAAAAAAGAAGAGTCTTTCCAAGTCTTTTCTGCCCTCTTCTTTTGCCCTGGCTGGCTTCAAACTGTGATACTTAGATCTCAGCCTCCTGAGTAGTTAGGATTATAGGGGTGAGCCACTGGTGCCAGCTGGTTTATAACTTATTTTGTTGAGGTTGTTGTCTTAAATAGCTGACAAGGGACATAGATCTGCTTAGGTTTAAGCCTGTGGATAAATCCCCTTGAGAAGTTATCTGGGACAGTAACTACCTTCTGTTCATCTCAGTGTTAGATTCAATTTTATTTTTTCCGGTTATCTCTTACGTATTTCTTGAGGCAGTATAATTTCTCATGCTTTATTGTGAAATACTTCAGAAATACGGCCTTTTCCTCAATACAGCTTTTTTCTCCAAAACTAGATGTACTTTAAACATGTAAATGGGATTATATTCTAAAGGCAACAACGGTCTTCTCAGCTAAAAGTTTTCTTTTTTCTTTCTTTCTTTTTTTTTTTTTTTAATTGTCGGTCATGGGACCTGAACTCTGGGCCTGGGCACTGTCCCTCAGCTCTTCAGCTCAAGGCGAGTGCTCTACCACTTGAGCCACAGTGCCACTTCTGGCTTTTTTGGCTTATGTGGTGCTGGGGAATTGAATCCAGGGCCTCATGCATGCAAGGCAAGCACTCTACCACTGAGCCATCTTCCCAGCTTAAAGTTTTCATAGGACCAAACATCTTTTTATAATTTGCCTTTCAGTATGTCCCTGTAGTAGGTTTATATTTTTTATAGACTAGCAACAGAAGTATAATGAAAGCTATGTATGTAAATTAAAATTTGAAAAGTGAACTCAGTAAAAAGTGAATCTCTTATTTAACTCAGCATATCCCAAACATCAATAGAAAACATCATTAATGGGGTATTTTATATCTAGTGTGAATTTTACCCTTGCAGTATATCTTAACTTGGTGAAATTTTCATTGGAAATATTTGATTAGTGTCAGAAACATTATAGTTGAAAAAAATAAGTTCACATTATTAACATGCTTCAATGATGTTTTCTGATAACTCCCCCCCCCCTGCCCTTTTTTGGTGCTGGAGATTGATTCCAGGGCCTTGTGCATGCTAATCATGTACTCTACCAGTGAGCTACACTCCCAGTCCCTATTTTCTAATAATTTAGTCACATATCACTTTTAAATGTAATTTTAATTATATAAAGTAAAATAAAATAAAAATTCAGATTTCCTATCTATACTTTCAGCCCATATTTTCTAATAATTTAGTTACATATCCACTTTTAAATGTAATTTTAATTGTGTAAAGTAAAATAAGCCAGGCACCATTGGCTCTCACCTATAATCCTAGCTACTCAGGAGGCTGAGATCTGAGGCTCCAGGTTTGAATCCAGCCTGGGCAGAAAAATCCTCATGAGACTCTTACCTCCAATTAACCACTGAAAAACTGGAAGTGGTGCTCAAAATGGTAGAGCATGTTTAGCAAAAGCACTCAGGGACAGCACTCAGGCCCTGAGTTCAAGCCCCACGACCAACCAAAAAAGAAAAAAGATAAAACAAAAAGTTGGATTTTCTGTTACACTAGTCACATTTCAAATGTTTATTAGTCATATATTAGTAACTATTGTATTGAATAATATAAGTACAACCCAAATTTCTTACACTAGGGAACAGTAATTCCTTCCTTGCCATTGAAGGAGTTACTCCTATATTCTAAAAATCAAATGGGTCACTTTTAGCTTCATTCTGATTCACTATGCTATTTTTTTCCCCACTGCTGGGGACTGAACTCATAGCCTTGAACTTACTAGGCAAGTATTTTCCACTGAGCTAAATCCCTAACCACTCCCATGCTATTTTTATCTAAATCTTTGGGCGCTTTCACTGCTCCCTGGGTACCTTTGTCTGCTGGTAGCCACATTTTTGGCATTCAACCTGGAACTTGCCAAATCTAGCACTTTAGGTTGCCTCCTAGGGTACATGTGATTGGTTGGGGAAGAGGTAGTGATACAGTA